TGTAGACCCTTTGGCTCTACCGAACCTCACCCCGTCTAAGTCAACCTTCAGTCTGAGGAGTCCCTTTCAGTGGTAGGGGACCGAGATTCGTCACAGCCGCTTAGTTCGTCACAGCTGCTGGCTATTCCAAACGCTTGGTCTTGGGAGCGGCTGGCCCTAGGAGCGGTTGAAGATATTATACGTTTGGGATTTACTAAGCATCTGACTGAAGTAACGGTTAAAGGGCAGCTTATAATCTGTAAGCGGCTGCTCAACGGCTGGGAATGGGAGCGGCTGGAGATACTAGCGGCTAGGAGATGTAAGCGGCTGGGCAACAGTTGGTAATGGGAGTTCCTATGTACTGTAGCTCTGTACCTCTGCAAGTGGTCGAGTCCCTGACTTCTTCCTTATATATTGACCTAACCTCTAGGCAGTGACCATCGCTAGGTAGCTGTGGGCTTACCTTTCTTTGATTTAGCGAACTTTAGGCTTAGGTTCCTCTTATCTTTATCTTCCTTAATTTTCTATCCTGGAGCTCTCGCCTCTACGCCCTTAGGTGACTGGTCTGGCTCCTATAGTCTCCGGCTCCCAAGGTCTCTGGCTTTTATAGTCCTCTATTTCCTACCTCTATGTGAGATGTACTCTGACCTTGGTATGTTGCTGCCCTCTGATTGACGTTACTGCTAACTGTGGTATGCCCTCTGATCTGCTGACTGTAGTATGCCCTTTGCGCTGTGCTGTTTGTGGTAGTACGACCAAGGCGGTGTAGGCTGGTAGTTGAAAATAGAAGCGATTGTGTGAAGTGCCCTGGAATTGTGTTTTCTGGCTAATTTAGCGATTCTAGTGAATCAACTCAACTGCCCTGGCAAGTTGACTGGAATCCCTAGAGGCCCAAGTCCTAGAGTCCCTACGAAGTCGACTGCCACCTACCCACTTAACTTGCAACCTTGACTTACAGCCTTGGAAGGTAGATAACTAATAGAGATATCATTAAGTTGATCATGTTCGTTAGTATATGTAGTGCAGTGATCTGGGTGTATGGGTGGATTGGTACTGTATGTACGTACCCCTGAGCACGGGCCTTACCCTCCTCTAGCCGCTGGCATTTCCCAGCCGCTTACTTTCCCAGCCGCTTACTCTGTACCAGCGGTCAGTACAACAGCTGAATCTGGAATATGCGGCTTATATAGACCAAGCGATTGAGAAAAGTATGCGGCAAACTTTTAGTTGACTGAGCTAAGCGGCTGAGGACTCCCAGCCGTATGACAACGTTGGGTATTCGGCTTACAAAAAGGGGGTGAGACCCCTAAGTAGTACGAAGAGTTCCTCTCTTGACCTATCCACCCGATGTATGTACATACCTCAATAAGTCATGTATTCTGACAAGAACGCCTACCTCGTTGCACCATGCATCTAGATACCCTCTTACAACTAAACTACATTACAAACGAAGCCATCTCAGACACTCCCCGTCTCTCCAAAACCGCCTTCCGATCGGCCTCACAGCTCCCACAGTACTCCTCATGCCACTTTCTCAGCGCCTCTTTACGCTTACCCCCATCCTTAGCCGTTAGCACCTTCTGTTGCCCATCCCCATCTCCATCCCCTGTCATCATATACCGATCTTTCCCTTTCCCCTCCTCACCCACATCCCCAACCTCCTCCCTGCCCAGATCCCCGCGCATCAACATCCCCTTGACCTGCTCGCACCGGTACGTCTCGTCGGCCAGCCAGTTCTCCCACTCGGACTGCACCACTTCCCGCTCGATGCCGTTGACGATGCGCATGGCCACGAGCAGGTCGTGCCGGTACCCGCCCAGGCGCTGGCGCGCGCGGCGGAGACGGCGCGCCGTGGCCCGGCTGGCGGCCGACGAGAAAATGTCGGCCCCGGCGTCCTGGTAGGGCGCGTCGAGGCTGGTTGTGTTGACCAGGGTTTGGAAGGTGGTGTAGCTTGAGGTTTGCAGAGTTAGCAATAGCGTCCTGAGGAGCAGTGTTTCTGTTTTGGGAGGGACTGTATTTGTGTGAGTGAAGGGGAGGGTGGGTAACTAACCATTGACTGTCCTTAGACGGCCGGGCATCTAGGCCCGCGGACCTTCCGCCGGCCGCTGCTGCCTCCTCCAGATCAGCGAGGTAGATGGCCTTGCTCATAATCGGATTCGGCCCGACGCCCAGGCGGTTCATGTACCTTGCCGACCTGCGTTCGAGCAACCACGTCGAGCTAGCCTGAGAAATGACGAGCAGGTTATACGCCGCGCTAACCGCCAGCAGCACGAGAATCACCCTGTTGGCCGTGACGATTTTGAACAGCCGCTTCAAAGCGGCAAACGTCCACATCATAATCGAGGTTATGGCGCTCTCCATAAAGGACCTGCCCGTCTCAAGCATCATGTCAGTCAGCGTGCGCGGGCGTATCGTCGGCTTCTTCTGCCCCTCGGCCGCCGCCGTGTCGGGGGTCAAGGTGACGACCTGGTTCTGCTGTCCTATGTTGCCGTACACTTGTATTGCGCGCTTGGTGCGGCTGTGAGGGCCCAGCCTGCGGACCTGCTCCGTCGCCAGCTCGGCCAGCTCCTCGGCGTCGTTGGCCGCGTCGTCCAGCGCTTGCCGCTGCACCATGTTTTTGGCGAATGCTGCTGCCTTGGACCAGTCGGCCTTGGTGTAGATGGCGAGCCTGCACCTGGATTTGGACACGTGTGTGATGACCACCTTAAAGACAAGCCTGAATGCCTGGGAGTGTGGGAGGTGCCACGGTGTCTTGGTGTGTGTGACCACGTATGTAATGTGGTCGTTGAAGACGTCAATGGTTTGCGAGTCGGTCACGTCACCGGCCTTCTTGCGACCAAGCATGTCAACGTGATCTACCTTGAACCGAAACTGGCGCCTCATCCGGCCTTGATCCTGCAGTTCCCAGGGGCCCTGCGCAATCTCCTTGGCCCGACGCTCAAAGTAGAGCTTAGGGAAGAGGAAGCTGTTGTCGCCGAACAAGACATGGAAACATGCCTTGGCACTGATCTCAAAGTGTCTCTCCGCCACAGCCTTGCCCATGTCTTGAGGTTCGTACACCACCGGCCGCGCGGGTAGCTGGAGCTTTGGCACCGACTTCCTTGACCCGCGCAGTAGCCCGTATCTGCCATTCCCAAGCTGCGGTCTCCTATTAACGGGTCGGCCGAACGGCGTCCCATCGTCAACCGGCGTGTTGGACGACACTTCCTCCCAGCTGTCTGCGCTAGGGCTCCGCTTGTTATGCTCCTGGCCCGCCTTTTCCAGGTTAATCAGGGCCCGAATGATTTCGGACAGCTCCATTGGCTCGGCAGCCTGAAGGTCGTCGACTAGGAGATTGAGACGGGCCTGCAACAGGGAGAAATCCTCCAGGAACACCTTGATTGTAATGCGAGAAAACCGGGCGTCTTGCATATCCTGATTCAGGTGGAGGAAGATGAAATTGCAGTCCCGTCCTGGCGCCGCCGTTAGCTCGGCAATGCTGTCCAGGTCGATGGCGTATGCTACGACCAAGCCCAGCTGGTGTCCGTAAAAGTACATCCGGTCGGGTGTGACGAAGATGCGTCCGCTCCCGGCCATGCCTTGGCCTTCCTTGCCCTCCCCGGACGAGCTGGACCAGGCGGCATTCAAGACCAACACGGGCTTGTCGTCAATGGGCGCGGTTGGGAAGATGAGTCTGAACTGCGCATACTGTGCCCTAAGCTCGGACGGATAGTTCAAGGGGAATTTATCCGAAGGTGACTTCTCCTGTGCTTTGATGTCTGTCATTTTGGTATCCATGCTCAGCGTTTTCCGGTGCGAACTGGCGGGGACAGCCATCTTCTCCCCGGTAGTGGTCCCCGGCATGACCGTGGCCACAAAGGGGTCTGTCGGATCTGGCTTCGGAGTTGGGGGCATCGTAGGAGAGGGACAGTACATAGGCGTGTAGGAGCAGCTACCCCAGTAGTTGGCCAGCACGGCGCTTGGCAGCATCTGACCTGTTCCCGCATTGGCGCTTGCCAAGACAGCAGCTTTGCTAAGACTTGTCATGATGGGAGGTTTGGCTAGAGCAACAGGTGCTAGGCTACCCGGTTGCTGGTCGAACAGGGGGGTAGACAGGCGAAGCGGAGCAGTCTGCCCTAATAGAGGAGACGCTGCCGTGGCCGAGACAAGACCCGCCGCGGCTACTCCAAGAGCGGATGTCTCGCTTGAGCTTGCAAAGGTTGACTTGCGATGCAGATCCAACTTCTGCATGATACGTGCAGCATGCTCTCGCCCGCTCTCGCCATCCTCCCGTCCAAGGTGAGTGGTAATCGCACGCCGAGGAGGGACGTCAAAGCTCGTACGAGTCGCAAGGTTCCCCTCCTGACTAGGAAGAGGCAAGTTTGCCTGCTTTTCAGACGTGGCCGTCTCGTCCAGGTTGTCCAAGTTCTTGGCCGAGAATTCGGGGATCGACGGAGGCGTAATGGAGAAGGCTGGGTCGACGCCTCCCAAGAGCGCGCTTTGGTCCCGGCCCATGCTGGCCTCGATCGCCTTCTTCTTAGCCACCTCAAACACCTCAAGCCACTCGATCAATTGCGCCTGCGTCTCTGCTTGCAGCATGATAGTCTGCGTCTTGGTTTTGATTTCGAAGCAGAACCGGCGTTCTTCCTGTACGGCCGGGCGGGCGCTACACAAAAGAACGCCAATCTCGTCGCCCATGAGCACCCCGTGAGGGCCCTGCGCCAGCCAGCCAAAGATGCCGTCGCGGCAGTAGTACCATCGGCGCACCCAGGTCGTCCTGACCGGTTTTCCCGACAGCACCCGCAAGAAAAGCCAGCCCTGCTTCTCCGAAATGACGGCGACCTGGTCCTTGCGCTGCATGCTCATGGGGCCCTTGGAGCCAAGGTACGGCACCGTCGAAATGCTGTAGTCCTCCAGCTCGCGCGACGGTTTGTACGTGGTAAGCGTGCTCTCGCCAATCTCCCGCCTCGCCGCCTGTAACTCGCGCCGGAACACAGCCTCAGACGACTCCATCTCCCTAGCCCAGCCCCTGATCCTCTCCAGCTCATCACCCCACGCGCTCACGGCGCCGCCACCAGACTCCCTCGCCTTCCTCATCTCACGGTATACATCAGCGCAGATGCGCACGAGCAGCCTGTCCAGCCCGGCCCTGACCTGGGGTGCCATCTGGCAGTAGTCCATGCTGGCCTTAAGGTAAGCACGCCTTGTCTCGTAGACGGCGAAGGCGTCCTCGCGCAGCGAGCTCGGCTCCTTGGTCTTGCTCTGCCCGACGTAGCGCGCCAGGGTGCCGTCAAAGGCCTTTTGCGCCGCGTCCAGGGCCCGCCGCGTCTCGCGGAAGTTGCGCAGCTCGTTCTGGATGAAGGCGCGGATCGGCTCGACGCTGACGGGCTCGAGCCGCCGCACCGCGGCCAGGATGCCCCCCCACCACTCGCGCGCGCCCTCGCCGGCCCGCCGCAGCGCTTGCAGCGTGTAGTCTGCGTCGAGCACGGGCGAATCGGCCGGCGAGGCCATGGACGGTGGAGGGGATATCTTGGACAGATAGGCGTTGATTGTGTCTTCGAGGGCGAGGACGTCGTGAGCGAGCTTGGCGGTGCTCCGGGCGTAACCGTCGAGCCAGCGCTCAATTGTGTCGAGTTGGTCGGAGAAGTGGACGGCCGTGGCGCGGAAGCTGGGCGAGTCGAGCGCTGCTTCGTTAAGGACGACGGGAATGGCTGGGCCGCCGGGCTGAAACGACGAGGTTCGGCGGGCCGGTTGAGGAGGCTGAGGAGAAGCCTGGGATGTTGCCGGGCCGGGAGCAGCGGAGGAGGAGGAGGATACGGGCTTTTGGCCAGTGAACGCCGCCGGGGGCGGCATCGTCGGCTCGTTCATGTTGGAGCTCGGCTCTGGCGTACACGTAAGAACTGCTTGAAGATCGGACTTGTACGCATATCAAGCCGGCTGGCCGGTCACATGTAACCTTTCTGAGCTACTAGCATGTATGCTCGTTCATTGTTGGCAAGGAGCAAACTAACGTAACGGCCAATCTCGGGATGTTGGGTGGTGAACTGTTGCCGTTGCCTTTGTTCTGTCTGTCAGTTCGGTGCCATGACGTTTGTTGCAGTTGTAAGTAAGCAGGTCAGTTTGGGTGTGCAGGAGCGCTAAAGGCAGGGGGCGGCTGGCCTGTTGGGATCGCTAAAAGAACTGTAACGGTAACGTAATGTGTGTACCCCACAATGCGCCCTACAGCGCTCCGTATGTTGAGCGATACATACCGTACAGTACGTAAATTACAACACATACAGACGCGTTCTTTGTTGGGGCACGAGCTGCTATTCAAGGGACAGAGCGAGTGCGGCACAGGGGTTTCTAGAGCACCAACAATAAGGCCCGGCACTAAACAATTCAGGGGCTAAACCAAGAACGGGTCATCACAAGATGCGACTGGGGACCGAAGAGCTCGTCAATCCTTTCTATTCTCTAATATTACAGACCCAGTGGTTTTACACTAGTTGAGCATTCGAGTCTGACTGACAGTTACTGTAAGCTCCTGCTAACCCATCTTCAACCGCTTGACCCTCCCTCGTATCGCTAGAACAACAACAGTTCAAGATGTTCTACCCTCTAGCATGTACACCCGATGCTAAGTCTTCTGGAAGTGCGTACGTCTTGTACACGGCCTTGTCTCGCCCCAACAGACAGACTCTGGCGGGAATCTCACCCCTTAAGCTATTAGCCCTCTGGACCTCCATCTGGACCGGGGTGAAGCCCGAAATATTGGAGAAGTCGAACCAAGAAATGTTTCTATTGTTGGCCCCCCTGCTGACTTCAATCACGGGAGGACAATTTCCCTCCTTGTATTCTTGATACCGCGCCTGATAGGCAATATGTAGTAGGCTTGGCTTTGCTTCTTCTGAAACTGTCATTAGCACTAGATGGCATAGGTCTTCAATATTGCAGAGCATACTTGGTTGACTGCACAGCAATAGCAGAGAGTCGTCGTTTAGGAATTTAAAGTCGACAATGGTTGCACTGTCTGGTAGCGAGAGTCCGCTGGCAGTCATCGAGGCTGGCCCGCTAACGCCGTCATGCAGTGGGATGTCCGCGCGGATGAGATAGACTGGGGTGGATCATGTTAGCCAGTGATTGTGGCTAGATGCAGTATACATACTTTTAGACTTGTCCGTTTCAGGGACCATTGCTGTATATACCGCAGCAGAATCACTCTGTACCCGACGGATCAGCGAAATCAGCTCGGCTTGTGGGAGGTCAGACAGAGACTCACGTTCTTCTTCGGCCTGCTCACCCAGATATCGTGCTTCCAAATCTTCTTCCCAATGGACAATTCGGCAGCTTGGCCGAACCGGACACCTTGCTCCTCTGCCCTAGCGATGCCCTTGAACACAATGCTAGCCCTGGAGGTCAAATAGTCGAGTAGAAATTCGACTCTAGGTAGTGCGGCCATGTAAGGCTGACCGGCTTCCTGTTTCTGCAACTCCGCGCCGAGAATGTCTGGGAGGGAGGGCGCCTGTTCGATATGTTCTTTGTCCTTAATATGCTGCTCTTTATCGAGCTCGCCAAAGTATGTCGCTAGAGGACTGCTGACCAAGTAGTTCTGGATATATGATAGTACCTTCGCATAGTCCATCGTAGCCTCTTTCTCCGACAGCTCGTCTGTGATTGACGACGACGCCTGCTTGTCGATTTCCATCCGCAGCCATACCGAGAATACCGTGAATTGTTCCAACTCGTCCATGACTATGAGCAAGACCTTGTGAGCAACCATCAATAAGCATGAGATGATCTCTGCAAGCTTGCTTATCTGAGCCTCGCTGAACCCAATACTCTCCTCTGAGCGATGGAAGCGAGCAATCCCAAGCAGACGACTAAGGATGATGCCGCATCTCTCTAGCGCCGGGATAAAATTCTCATGAACCAAGCCTCGAAGATTAACCAGTCCGGTTATCACGGCCTTTTCCCATCGTTTAAGTCCCTGCTAACCCGTCAGCTGGACTCATTCTGTCCAAGGGAGAGGGTCTCCTCACCCGCTCAGCAAGAGTATCCACGAGCCATTCCTTCACAGGGGGTAAGACATGGCCGGTCGCAACAGTATGGTACAAGGCCTGGACTATTGTCAAAGCCCCGTTGGGCATTTTCTTGAGGTCATCCTGGACCCCGAGTAAAAACCTTGACGGCAGTTCCCTTGTGGACTTCCACTCGCCAATCATGTGTGACTGCGTTTGCTTCAAGTAGCGCAGCAAATTCTGCAGCGTCGTCGTCTTCGACGCCAGCAAAGACAGATTGACGGGAGAGCGGTGCACAAAAGTGAGATCCATAGGCACAAGGTATAACGCGGTCCCGTCACCTTGATGCGGCCGAAGCAGAAGCATATGTGTAGATATTTCGGGGTGTGAACCATGGCCACACAGCTGAAAAACACCGGAGCCCGGATCGGCCCTCGCCGTTCTGGGCGAGTGCTTGAACCTCCCAATGACAAACGAGTCATAGATGCTGAGATGGATGCCACCATCGGCGGTGCCAACGATCAGGATATGCACGTCGTCGGCGTCCTCGGCCTTGCACGGCCGAAATACAAAGTCTAGTGACGCAGTCGTCGAAAACAGGAACATGTCGTCTCTAAGCATCCAGATCAGCTTCCACCCATCACCGAGCCTCTCTCGTCCCCTCCGCCAAACCCATGGGACCACTTACCCCGATCCGCCCAAAACAGGGAGCGGACTTAGCTTCGGCAGCGCCGTCTCAACCTCGAGAAAGGTCAGCTCATGTGGCAAGTCGAGCGCCACGTCTCCCATCCGTTCTGCATCCAGTAGGATTTCCCTCTCGGCCCTCCTCGGCCCTCCTTTCCGTCCTCTCCTCCTACTCTCACCCGTGACGTTTTTTGACCAAGCGATGAACTCAATCTTGGCCGGTGCGGTCCCCCCGGCCCCACCAGAGGAGAGAGAGTCTGCATCGCAAACCCGGATATGATGCACGGGCTTGCTGCTCTCCAGACCCATCAGCCTGACCACCCCGTCGCTCCATCCCGAGGCGAGGAACTGGCCTGATTTCCCTTCGCATTAGCATTTCACTTTCCTTCATCTGATCGAGGGCCCGAGGGAAATCTGGAAATCAAAAAAGAAAACACACCATCCTCCTTCCAACAAATCCCCTCCACCTTCTTCCCCCGCTCAGCGTGCTTCCACACGAGCTGGTCGTTGGCGCGCCACACGTACAACGTAGCATTGTCCTCGCCGACGGTTGCTGTTAGGTCGATGGCTGGGTTGCAGGCGAATTGGCCGCCCGTGGCGGGAGTTGCGAGGGAGCTTGACCCAAAAAGGCGGAGGACGGGTGTGGCTGTTTCCATCTTGTTTGTTGTGTCGTGACTGAATTGCAGGTGAATGTGGAGGAATTGGCGAGCTTATGAAAGTGGTGGGCTTAAGGATGGGCTCATCTCTTTTTCTCTCATATTAAGGCACCTGGGTAGGTAATTGCGCGGATAGTTACCGGTTGCCTGTGTTTGGTTGTTCTTGCCAGGGCCAATATTCATTGTCTCCAGTTTCTGGTGTTTCTGAAAAGAGGGACTCTCGAGCGACTCAACTGGAAATGAACGTGAAGCTCTGAAGCTGGATTGATTCAAGCGACTCGGAGTCTTGGGCTCCAGTGGCTGCACATTTCGCACTGTGCACTTACTTCAACAGTTGGCGCTCAAGTTGAACCGTTGACACCCACAGCATGAGGCTCACTTTGGGGAGTCAATACTATACAATCTACACACCCTGCTCACTTACATACGCCAGGGAGGATTCAGGTGTGGTGGATGAGAGACAATCCCAGTGTCATTTCTACTAGTAGTAGCTGCCCATGCCGCACCTCAGGATACTCCACGCTCAGGACACCCAAACACTGCCGCCTTCCTTCTTACCTCGCCAGTCTACTCAATTACGTACGACTCCGCAACGGACTTGATCTCCTTGGAGAAAGTGACCTCCTCATTCATCTCCAGCAGCTCCACCGATTGGACCTATTGAGTCTGTTAGCTCTTGCAATCGTCTCGTCTCGCTTCGTCCCAGGGGCAGCAGAAACCTACATCAACATCCACAAACGGCGACGTCTTCGAGAAGCGCACTTGCATCGGGAAGAACTCGTTCTCGTCGTCCGTCTGCGCCTCAAACTCGAAGGCGCCGCTGGGATTGTCCTCGCTCACCGTGCCTATCGACCATTCCAGGCTGTCGCCGGACACCTCGTAGACTGCATCAAAGCTAGAGATAGACGGCTCGGCGCTGGAGAATGGCACAACAACGCTGACGTCCTTCAGGGTGTCGCCTCTAGATAGCTCATACTCTATCGTGAGCGTGCAGTTCCCTTCTGAGCCCTTGTTGACCCAGACGGTGAAGGTGATCGGCAGCACACTCGAGTCATCCACCCTGGGAGTAGCGCGCCATCGCAGCACGCCAACGGAATTGTTCACCGGGAAACCCCTCGCAGTGTTGGCCATTTGAATGGCCTTGGAACTGTTGAAGGCGTTCTTGTCCACGTTAGGGTGCGTCCGGAACTGCGCGCCGTGTGACGGCGTGGCGCTGAGATTGAGCTTGAGCTTGGTGAGCGAAGGATCCGAGACGCGTAGTGACAGGTCGCCGCTGATCGAAAATGAGTTCAGCGCGCCCTCCCTGGATATTTTGGCTGTGATAGCTTCATTGATAGTGACGTGGATCGCATCCCGGTCCAACGAGGATGAAACCCTCGGGGCAGAGGCCGGTTCTGGGGCAGACGCTGCGGCGACGGGCACAAGTGGCGTGTCGTCCACAGGTCCTAGCTCTCCTTTTACGCGCTCAAACATGTCTGTGGTCTTGGACTTCTTGCCCAGCTGCATGCCCTTACCCTTGGGGGCAGTGAACCTGTCTCGGTTAGCTTGGTCTACCCTCAGGTGCTCTCAGAACCAACGCATACTTGGACTTGTTCTTCTCCGCCTCGTAAGTATCATATGTCTCAGTAACAGCTGGCCGTACCGGCGGGGTGTATGTTGGATAGACTGGAGGCCGCGACATGCCAGCACCGCGCCTCCCGGATTCCTTGCGCTGCATCTCCAATTGCTTGGCCTTCCGCTTGCGCTCCTCGGTAGCCTCCAATTCCTTGTTCTATGGGTATATCAGCAACTCGTCTCGGTAGGTAGTTACCAGGTCCTCCTACCCGAGCGATGATCTCCTGGATGCGCTCCTCATGGCTTTCCATCTCCAAGAACGTCTTGATCTGACTGATTGTCAAGTTCTCCCTGTACCCGAGCGTCACTAGCTCATCGAAGGCGCTGATGAGCTCAAAAGCATTTTTGAGGATCTCGCGCTCGTCGAGGCTCTTGCACGTGCTGGTAACAACCTGGGCGAACAGGTGCAGGGAGTCGATGTCTTGGAGGATGTTGGATTGCTTGTTGGTAATGAGCACCATGTACAGCTCGTCCAATGGTTGGTATACGAATCGGACATTGTCCTGCTCGACCGTAGTGTGTTGGGTGCCAGAGTTCGCCGCTTTAGGGAAGGATGCCAGGAGGGCTTCGATGCGCGACCGCTTGATGTCGTGGAAAGCCCGGGCGAGGACCGCCTTGCCGCCCCGTGTGCAGATGGACGCAGCGAGGACAACCTGGATGGCTTCGTCAGTATAAACCAGATGCATATGCACAGAAGCAGCAAACATACCATCTTGGCTGCGGCGAGTGTTTTGTCCTGGGGGTGGTGGTTCTGGTAGATGTGCAGTTAGTCGGCAAAAGGAGCTTCAACCCTCCTCCTAAGTTTGTTGCAATTGGATCTTGCAACAATGCGATCTGTCATTCTGACCGTGCGCCTGGCCGAGGGGGGCTGCCAACTGGCGAGCTTCTGTACCAGTTAACGGACGTTGGAGCTACTAACTAATTTCTGTGCATTACAAGGCACTCTGCGTTATTGCACAGCTACTGCTGTTATCTAATCTTTAACTGCCCAGCTTAAAGGCTTCTTTGTCGCAGGCACAAAGGCTAAAGCACCAAACTGGGTGCGGGCGTGCGGCGCCCTTCCACGTCTTTTTATTTCAACACGCGCACCTCCACGACTTCACCGAAACCTTCTCGCAATCAAAACCGAAGCTTCCCTTCAAATACCTGATCTTCCCACATTCACCATCAGACCATACCTGTATAGGTCTTTTCTCCATCCAACTCATCCTTCTCCGTTGTGATCCATTCCAAAGAACTGAAGTTCTGAACGGTCGAACCTCGACAAGCTCTACTCCGACCGACTTGTGGTCTCCCCCGATTTCCGACTCGGCACAGTCTGCGAATTTCTGAATGCACCAGCCCGATTTCTGAGTCACAACAGCCAACTTTTTTCCGCCTGCCGCAGTGCTCGCATCTCGGGCGGAAGCAGATGCGAATGGGCCATCGAACGCGCCATCTCCCACTTGTAAATCACGATTTTCCACACCTAGATTTCTTCTAGCATTTGGCCCACTGTCAATCTGCTCCGACACTCCCTCTGTCTGCCCCGTCACTTGTTGAGTTGTCTTCGCAAGGCCGACGCCACACCTCGATGCAGCAGGCGGGTTTCTGGTAGCAAGGAAAAGCAAGCCATCACAACGACGTACCCTCTATTCCCTGTGTTCCTCTTTCTTCGCACATTCACTGCACTCGGCCTCATCACACTGCGATGGAGCAAGCTGGGCTCTCGGTGGAGCCTGGTCCTTTGAGCCACCTGGAAGCAGAGCACCAGCTGAATTTTGACCCCAATACCGACCACGAGGCCGATGGTTTTGACTTTGGCCTCGATGTGTCGTATGACCAGGTCGAGCAGGACGTTGGTGGATCTGACATTGGCAATGGGGACCACGTGAATCTTGACGTTGAGATTGGCTTTGAAGATGAGGAAGGCCAGGCCGGTAAGGCGGGTCACGAACAAAAGTTTCATGCCACCGAGGTGGCCCAGATTTCTGGCCAAGACACCGAGGTCGATGTCGAGGCTGGAGGGGAATATGAGGATGAAATTGGATACGAGGATGATGATCCCAATGCCACCGACATCCGTATTGACTTGGAAACTCTAGAGCCTTCCGGAACCGATAATGGGCAGGAAACTGCTTTGGCGGATGACGGGCAAGAGTCTAATCAGTTGGCCGAAAACGCCCAGCCTGAGACATTTATTCAAGTGAAGGATGAGGTTTCGCACCACACTGAACCCGAGGATTATGGTGAGGGCTTGAACCCACAAGATGACTCGGGTGATGTCGATAAAGAGAATCAGGCCATTTCCGACAGCGGTCACGACGCTATCGATGAGGCAGCTCACGAGGAGTATGTTGCGGATCAGCACGACGAACCACATTCGGCCATGAGTGATATGGACAAAGCCGTCCAAGACCTTGCGCACTCGCTCGCCGGGATTCCCAACGTGGCAGTTGTATACAACGAAGAAACCTACTCTCTATTCGGGGCCCCGGATGACGATCCAGACACTTACTTCCTAGATGACATAACACAGCTGGACAGCCCACTGTCGGAGTTCCTTTCCTGCCTCCGTCACGTTGTAGCTCACGAAATGTCGCCCGCGGATGAGCTGGTAATCCGCATCGACCCTCTTGGTCTCGAGTTCGGAGAGCGGTCATCGGAGAAGTTTTTGACTCGCAGTTTCCGTGAAATTCTTGACTGCCATAGTGCGTTAGAAAAGCAGGACCCCGTTGTCCAGCTACTGGTCCGGCGGGACAGCGAAGAGCACTTCCTCGAACTCCTGTCCGTTGCCGGGCTCATTGATGAGTCTGATTACTCGGAGGATATTGAGGCATCCGAAATGCACGGCGAACTGGCGGGAGCCAACCCGCCGACCGAGGGTCAAGAGCAACATGAACCGTCTGAGGACGGAGACTCGGACGAGCAGTCTGCCGAGGAGCAGGATACTCTTGAAACTGCAAATGATGGTGTCACTGCTGCACAAGCCTTTGAGGACAAGCGTGATTCTGAGCTCGAAGCAGGCTCCGGTTATGGAAATGCGGCAGGAGAACAGAACGATCATCAAATCGAGACCGATCAATTGGATTCCTCCGGTGCCCCGCAGGACGACTTGGAAGATGACTACCTTGCGACGCACTCTCACCTGAATGAACATGCTGAGGAGGGTGCAAATGAAGAGCAAGGCTGGGTCAGCCAAGCGGTAGAGCCGCAAACGACAGCTGCGCAACACTCCGAGCTCCCGCTGGAGACATCTGACAGATCCCATAGCGCGCAGACGGCTGGCGATGAGTCTGGTGGAACTGCAAATTTCGGTGCCGGAGAAGCAATTGCCTCCCCTTCACATGACGGGTATGGACAGGAGACAGGCTCAAATGGTAAATACCTTTCATCCTCTTCCCCGACATATCATGATTCCCCACACCATGGAGAAGTTGCCGAGTTGCTTTCCCCTCAGGACGTTGAGATCGAGGATCTTTCCGTCGTCGAAATGAACCATGAGGAGACACCAATCTCGGCGCTTGAGGCAAGCCAAGCATCGGCACACACATCCCAATCGGTTGTTACAGGGACGCAGACTCTTTCCTTGGACGATGATTTCTTTACGATTGACTACTCAGATGATGATTACGAGGCCTGTCCTATATCCCAATCAGCACACACATCCCAACCTGCCATTACACGGACGCGGGCCCTTTCCTTTGACGATGACTTTTGGAAGATTGAGTACTCGGATGACGAATACGACGCATGTCCTGTATCGTCAATGACGAGTCAAGGTGCCCCTCAGGGTAGTTCCCGTTCTGGGCCCTCGTCATCGTCGCGGCCTCCGGTTGTAGCTTCGGGAGTTGTAACGAACAGCAACCTGCAGGGCAAAAACCCAACCACTCTCACGCTTGCTGGCAATTGTTCAGACTTCAACGTGGCTACTTTATCTTACAATGATGCTGACATGCTTCCCCAAGAAGATAACTACCTCGATCTCGCATTCGATGAAGATCCTGGCCCGGATCTGTCGTCGATTCACGAACAGGAAGGGGATGAACACGTTGAATATTCGATTACGTACGACCGGAACGACAATGAAAGCGCTGGTGCCGAAGTTGCAGTTAGCATTGCTGAGTCGCATATTGCCGAGGATGCCAGCGACTCTGCCAGTAACAATTACCAGAACGTAACTCATATTGCTGCAGTCACGGAAACGGCATCGATTCAAACAAGCGCTACTTTCGACGGCGATGAAATTGACTATGAAGAACATGACACGGAGGACAACTCTCTCACGCTGGCAAATGGCGATGCATTGCCACCAGTGACAGCTTCTGGGGGCGAAAATGACGAAATTGATTGGGAGAACGACGAGGACGATTACGAGCAGCCGGCGATTGCAAATGACCTCGAGGACGATGAACGCAAAGACATTACTTTGAGCCCATCCAGCCTCGCTGGTAAACGAAGCAGGACTGACGATGAGGAGAGTCTGGCCGAGGAGACCGGTACGCTGGGTTTCCCGCCTCTGAAGAAGTTGCGCGTGGACTGACGATTGCACAGACAACAAGCGTCGTCGGACTTGAACGGCAGGCTCTCCACAAGCTTCCCATCCTCTTCCTCTTTCTCCGGAGACGGTTGTAGTTCAACCGCACACTTACTGACCCCGATGCCCTGCAAATCTGTTTTTCAGTTCTTCTTTTCCGACTTTGACAACTAACATTCAACGATGCCCGCCGGATCCACCGGGATATTGACAGGTAGGTTTTTAATACGACATTTCTAAAGACGACATGAAGGCTTTGCCAAATTCTGTATCGGACAGCAATCCGTTCACGTTGCAAGCTTGCCGAGCTTGCCAGTTACTATCCAGCAAAGCACACTCTGCCAGAGGCTTGAGGCCCTAGGAGTTTCGGGATGGAGAAGCCAGAACGACAAGCCATGTCCCAGCATGATATCGGCGTTTTACTTGTAGGAGTATTGTTGGGAATTTTCGAGTTGAGGAAAAGGCGTTTGAGGGCAAGGGATTCGTTCTACGCGGCTCCAGGGTCCACGGTGGATGATCGGTCCAGGGAGTACTTAGATATGGGCCCTGTTGTCCTTTCCCGGCTTCCGGCTGACGCGTTCTCATCATTCAACTGGTGGTTGCTGATGGGTCAAATGTGATCCTTGGTAACACTCTGGCTTGAAGGGCGAACTGGTTTGCCTTTGCGTTCTCCGTTGGGCCATCCTTAGGTGGTGGCATTATTCTCAGATTTCTTGTCAGGTACTTGTATGTTGATAGATGTCGCTGCCTTCCTGGTACTGGAGGGCACACACTGTATGGGCTAGGGGTACGGAAACATATTCGTATATAAGAGCATTCGTTGATCGCGAATAACCGTGTCATGCAGAGTATACCCGCGGGCTCGGGCTTCGTACTCACTCACAGGCCAGTATCTAGGAAAGATGATGCCTCCAGGTCCCAAATCGCTTTACACCATCTGTGAGAAAACTTACAAACCTCGGCAAGGTTGTAATGTCTCTTCGTTACCTATGGTGATTTCTGAGTGCATCCTGTAGCTCCACTGATGTTGTGCTGCGCCACGAGTCTTGCGTACCCAAACCCATTCAAATCTGTGAATACTCGGATATCTCAATGAGGATTTGGAGCCTGCTTCCAGGTTAGATTCCAGTCTGAGCGGGTCAAAAAAAACCTCCGCAGCGAGTTTGGTCCCGATATCTGCCAGTAGCAAACTGGTTATCATCCCAAGTTCAAACAGACTTTGAATTTCAGACTGTGCTGATCTTCCCTTAAGGCTCATAAGGTTACTTGATACAGATTACGTGACATAGATACAAGCCCTTAAGTACGTATTTTTGCCGCGGATAGGCAGTGTAATGGACCTTTTGTTCCGTCGTACTTACCAATTCTCAACCAGCCATGGAACCAAATTTGTGATCTTGAATGAAAGGGGACTCTGTGGCGGGAAACATTGCGCAACACTGTGAAGGAGGCTTGAATCGCTATTAGTATCTTAGCTTGTGTTGGCCACAGTATTTAATCGTCTTGTATCTCGTGGTGACGTCTTTCTTGCCTTTGATTTACGACGTTAGTGTGGGATTGGAAACCTGAACAATGAAATGGTTTTTCTCGAGTTGAGTTCAGTGTCCAAAATGCCGAGTCGATTTGACAGATGCCCGTTGGTCCATGTGCTGTGGCTGGTTTTCAGGGTCATCTCTTTTTTTGTTCTTGGCCATTTTGGAGGGATCGGCTTGGTCAGGGGTCCCGTATGATCTGACAGGGGTTGGCTCGTGATTCTTGAAACCGCCAGGCCCCAGATTCTCTCCTCGCACCACCTTGTATCCACAGGGCCACGACTGAAACTTGAATTCCAGCAGCGCAAGAGTTGTTGCCAGCCACTCTCTGCCTGAGGAATAGGAGACTTTGTTTCTCCTCACGACGACGAAGACAGCAGGTCTCAATTCCCACTCACACAATCCATCATCCAGGCTGCACCTGCTGTACAGACCTTTACATACAGTACGGCACAATACGCACGGATCAAGTTAGGCTTAGCGGATCAGGGCGGCCGTGTAGCGCAACCAAAACCCCATCTGCTCGACAGTAACGTTGTCCTCTTCTGGCTACCGTATTCGAGCGAAGCGGCCCCAGCCCACGACGACGACGAACAACGACACTACTCGCGGAAATTCGACCGCCGTCGGCAACACACGGATGCATCGTTGGCGACCGTCTCGCTGAAATCTTTCAATTTTCTCCTTTTCGAGTCTCGCCCGGCGCGAGCGGCCTCCCCCTTCTCTCCCCGACCTCCGTCCGTCGCTTTCAGAAGAAGACGAACCCCTACGACCAGGTGGCGCATTTGCTACCGTCACGCTCGCTTGCTTCTGGGTTCGCCCTGCTGTGGAGAGGATGCTGGAAGACAAGTACGGCTCCCTTGCGCAATGGTCAATTTGGCGCGAAAGGTGTAGCGCGGCAGTGCATAGTGCTGACGTTCCCCGTTGTTGTTGGCAGGTATATTGGTCTGGCTCTGGCCATGACCTCCAGTTTATTCATCGGTACGCGCTTTGCCCCTTTGCCTGACATTAATCGTGGGATCTGGGGACTAACTATGTGCGCGAAATAGGCACAAGCTTCGTAATAACCAAGAAAGTACGCCGAACTCCCAAGGGAACGCCTGCGCTGCGGAAACGCGAGCGAACATGAGGGGACGAATCGCGCTAACCACGGGCTCTTACTTTGTAGGGCTTGATGCACGCAGAGGAAAGGCACGGCTTTGAAGGCGACGGATTCGTCTACTTAAGGAGTCCGATGTGGTGGGCGGGCATTATCTGCCGTACGGACAAAACCGAGCATCAATTCTGGGCCAAGGACACGCGCGCTGACGATGGCTGACAGTGGTTCTTGGGGAAATCTTCAATTTTGCGGCATACGCATTCGCGCCGGCGATCCTCGTCACTCCGCTGGGGGCACTATCCGTCTTGATAGGAGCCGTGCTAGGCTCCTACTTTCTCAACGAAGAGTTGGGAACCCTCGGCAAGCTTGGGAGCGCCATCTGTCTGATCGGAGCTATCATTATCGTCTTGCATGCGCCTCCTGATGAGGAGATTGAGACCATCGACAAGATCCTCAATTATGCGATCCAGCCAGGCATGTCTCTCGCTACTTCGCTTCAGTTTTAACGCGGATTGCTAACTATCTCCAAGGCTTCCTGTTTTACTCTCTCGCCGTCTGTATCTTTGCGGCTGTCATGATCTACAAAGTCGCGCCTGTCTACGGCAAGAAGAACCCCATCATCTACATGAGCATCTGCTCCACCGTAGGGTCTATCTCGGTCATGTCCGTGAAGGCTTTCGGCATCGCGTTGAAGCTGACCTTCGCGGGACACAACCAATTCACGCACCCTTCGACTTATGTCTTCATGATCATTACCGCCGTCTGCATCCTAACACAGATGAACTACTTCAACAAGGCGCTCAGCCAGTTCCCCACCAACATGTATATTCCCCGGACTCTCTTCCCCACTGCCTAATCATGCTAATCTCTTGGCAGTGTGAATCCCCTCTACTACGTTACTTTCACGACCGCAACACTATGCGCTTCCTTCATTCTCTTCAAGGGTTTCAACACGACCGAGACTGTCAACACGCTATCCCTTATTTGTGGTTTCCTGGTCACTTTTACGGGCGTCTATCTGCTCAACCTCAGTCGCACAGACCCTAACGGGACCAAAATGTTGGCCCGGCGCAACGCCGGCGACGCGACAGGTACTGATATGATTTCAAGCATCCAAACCCGTATAAGTATGGAGGCTCGGCGCTCGCAGTCGCATCGTACGAGCATCGGAAGCAACCGCGCGGGCGATCGTGAAGGCTTGATCCGGGCATACGACGAGGAGGAAGCTGCCGGTTTCGGGCTGACAGACCTCGCCGAGGACACGGACGAAGAGGATGACCCAAGGTCGCCCATGATCCCCAACCACCCGCAGAGTAACGGTCACCGCCCGAACGGGGGAGTCCACCTCAGCGCCAAGAACGCGAGCGATTCAATAGAGCTGCAGAACGTAAAGGCTGGGGATAGGTGACGACCTTACCATGCGACCGGTTTTCATTTTCTTGGTCTATTTTCCCCCATCGTTTTAGACGGCGTCGGCCCGATGCATAGCCTTCCGACTTTTCGCCTGTTGTCTCTTGCTCTCTTCGGCTCTCTTGGCCCACCCAGCGAGGGCGCCGACTCCACGGTTTCTCTCCGCTTTCTCCAGACTTCTCCCGGGGCCTAGCATAGAAAAGGGAAACGTGGCCGCAACCGCGCGAGCCAGTCACTTTTTGATGCCTCTCTCGGAGCGAGCCACACGAAAATTCAGAGATTAGTCAGCAGTAGGGGGCCCAAGAGTCCAAGACCGGGTTCACAATCCATCGAATCCAACGGGAAGAGCCAGCCTGCCCGACCTGGACCAGGGCAGACAGGCCAAGGCTGAGCAGAGCCTACGGATCCCGGATCCGCGTATCCCACGACGGATTGGCTGCGCAGCGATGGGCAAAAGGGGAGAGCAAAAAGCAGCGTCAGACTCATTTGTGGCCTTAACTATGTACATTATCCGTTTCCCTCTTGTTTGATCTTTTTGTTCCTCGGTCCTGTCTGTCAGTCACATGGAGTTAATGGGAGTTGTGTATAACTGGATGGGCGGCTGGCTGGCGGATGAAATGTCATGGGAAAAAGTATTGGGGCCGGCATACCTGTAGGGAACTTTTGAAGACGAGTAAGGGAAGACGGTCGGCAATGGAGCAGGGGAAGGGAGGGCTTTTTGAACTGTTCAAGACCGGGACATTCACGACTTTCTACTACATTGCGCTCGCACGGGCTGGCAGCGGAGCGCAACAGGCATACCATACATGCTATCATTTAAGGCGTTGATATTTTATCTGTCTTCAGCTCTCTCCCGCTCGGTTCTAGGGACTGATTGATTGTGACCGCGTGATTGTCTCTCAAGAGGCTAGGCCTAAGAGAAGGATGTGAAGCGCTGGTCGAGAGTCTGGACTGCCATAAGAGACTATGAGTCTGGGAGAGATAACCACAGACAGGGTTGGCTTCGATTAGTGAAGGCCTGAATAGGTGAATGCATGCAGTGGCAAGCATCGGGGCTCTGCCGAATACAAGACAATCCAGCACGCAAATACGACGCAGGCCAGACCACTTTGTTCAGAGATTTATTAAACCCTCAATGAGTTCAGGATCGTCTGACGTTTCTGCCCTGTCCATGGGGTTTGCCTGGATAGTTACAAATTCACCTTCCAAAGCGCGTTCCGTCCCTTTTCCCGTTTCGCAGACTCAATGCAATATGCTCAAAGTTGACGCCGAGTGACCCATCCATCCACAACCATACTGCAGAGCGCGTGGCGCGCCCCAAGAAATATCTCCCCACCCAAAGCCCGTAGTTTCGTGCATCACCAGTCCATCTGGAGAGCACTCTCTGGCTCCGGGCTAGAGGAAGTAGCCGCAACCTGATCGTTAAACATCCCCTATTGCTCAGCGGGGGCGGCTTCTTCCTCTGCGGCCTGCTCCTCCTGGCGAGCCGCCTCGGCGGCAGCCTGGGCAGCAGCGGCCTTAGCGCCGTAGTCCTGGCTCATGGGCTGTACGACGGGGGTCTCCTCCTTGGGCTCGATGATGGTGACGGCATCCGGGAGTGACTTTTGCGGGCCGGCCTTGCCCTCGGGGTCGCTGCCGCGCATGATCTTGACCTTGATACCCAGCACACCCTGGCGCAGCAGTACGTGGCGGGTGGCGCTGTCGATAAAGTCCTTGGCCGGCTGGCCAGAGTGGATCATGAAGCCGTCGGTGAACTTCATGCTCTTGGCGCGGGCGGCGCGCAGCTTTCCGGAAACGACCACCTCGCAGCCCTTGGCACCGCTCTCCATGATGAACCGGAGGACACCATAGCAGGCGCGGCGAACGGCGAGACCGTTGAGGAGCTTGTAGCGGAGTGACTCGCACTGAGCGACAGCCGAGAGACCGCGGTTCTGGACCTTGGCGGCGTAGAGGGAGACGGAGTTCTCGGGGAACTTGAAGCGCTTCTGGATGAGGCTGGTGAGCTCGCGGATGCGGCGGCCCTGCTCGCCGAGAACCTCCTGGGTGTGGGTGGCGCGGATGATGATGTCGGTGACGGTCGGTGTAACGCGGACTTCGACGCCGGAATAGCCCTCCTCGGCCAGCTCGCGCTGGAAGAACTCGTTGAGTTCGGCATAGAAGACGCCGTCGGCGACGAACTTTCTGCGCTTAGAGCTGTGGTCGGGAAAGAAATAGTCGTTAGTATCGATCGATATGACAGATACCACATTTTGTCTCCGGCTTCGCATCCACCGCAACCATCCAGATCCTCTCGATGCCATCGAGTGACGGCCAATCGATATCCACCACAAATCGCAAGGAAAACCAAAACTTACATCTGGGTGCCCGGAACAGCCATGGTTGCGGTTTGGCGATGAGTCTCCTCAAGGCTTCAATTGTCGGCAGAGGTTGAGGGAGTGGCCTTCACGCGGTGTTCACCAACGACTTTTTTCAGATGGGGGAAATTCGAACTGCAACACTGCTTTTTGTCTTGGTGGGCTGTCTTTTGCCTTTTCGAGGTGCGAGGTGGAGTAGGGTTTACAGCCACCAATCAGAGGCCCATGGGGCTTTTGGTGGGGGCGCGCGGGTCTTTGACCAGCGCCCGCAGGGCCGCAGCGCCTGCCTGCCCCTGTCTCCAGCTGTCGCTCGGTTGGGCCGTGCTTTCTCTGTAGGTGGGAGGTGGGGCGTTGACGACGTCAACCGCCAAAAGTCCCTTCCCACTCACTGACACAGGGTAAGCACAAACCTGGAAGAGGAAGGCCTTGTGATTGCTTCTGTTTCCATTCCAGCTCTTCAGCTCCGCGCAGTTTGCAAGCAAGCACGTTCAACAGAAGTAAGTCCAGCTATGTGTTGACGATGCCGACCCCCAACGCTATTTGCGCTTCCTGTCTCCGAACGAACCTGGGAACTGCCCCGCAGACCACCAAGCTACGCCGTTAACGTCGGATTCACCGGCGGCTTTCTGCTTGCTGCTTGGGCTGCTACCGCAATAGCGCTCTCATCATGTCCGTTCCACAGCACAAGCACGTAGGTTCCCAGCAGCGCAGCGGCGACCCCTCCGGCTCGCTCTCCTTTGCTCCTACTGACCCCAGCCGCAGGTGTACCATAACGTGCAAGCGTTGCGTGGTGGGAAACCGGAGCTCGGTGATGTTGCGTTGAGTGACTTCCACCTAGTTTTCCGGTTCCCGCCCGAGTCGAAGACGGCCGCCGACTCGCACGTGAAGAAGCAAGTCAAGCAGGTTTGGTTTGCCTTCCATGTCATTGCCCAGTGCACTCTGCGGCCGACTCCCCCTTCGAGTGGCGTGCCCTCTTCAATACGCATCCGTTTTAGAGACTTCACCTATGTCGGCTTCAATTTCGGCGACGACAGAGAGGCTCGGGACGCCTTTGAGTTCATTCGAGCCAGGACATGCAGGTTGGGGTCAACCGACAAGCTCCTGGCTTTCAACTATTCCCCACCGCCAGGTTCTCCAGAGCTGAAGATCGATGGTTGGGACTTGTACGACCCCCGAGCCGAGTTCCGGCGCCAGGGGATCAGCGAGAAAGCTGCGGACCTGGGTTGGAGGATATCTACCATAAACAAGGATTACACTTTCTGCCCGACGTACCCGGCGCTGCTGGTCGTGCCGTCCAAGATCTCAGATAACACCCTGAAATACGCCGGCAACTTTCGATCCCGCGCTCGGATACCTACCCTTACCTACCTCCACCCGGTCAACAACTGCACCATCACCCGGAGTTCGCAGCCGTTCGTCGGGCTTAGGATGAAGCGCAGCATACAAGATGAGCGTCTCGTCGGCGCATGTTTTTCTGCCTCGACAGATTCCCTGGACATCTCTTTGTCCGCAAATCCAGAGCATAGCCCATCTTCGAGCCAGCTGGACCTGAGTGCGGATGGGCTGGATGCCGACATCTCCCTGTCAGAGACGGAGCGGATGGAGGATGAGCTCATTGCCAGTCCCAATGCACTTTACGACGAGAAGACTGGAAAGAGACTGATATATGGCGCCCAACAACACAACCTAATCGTCGACGCCCGGCCTGCCATCAACTCTTACGCCATGCAGGCAATAGGAATGGGCTCGGAGAATATGGACTATTACAGGTTTGCCAAGAAGATCTTTTTAAACATAGACAATATCCACGTCATGAGGGATTCCTTGGACAAGGTTGTCAGCGCCATCAAGGACGCCGATGTGTCTCCCTTCCCGCCGAACCGAGACCTTCTAGCCAAAAGCAAGTGGCTGAAGCACATCTGCGGCATCCTTGAGGGTTCGGCTCTTATTGCGCGTCAGGTTGGCATCCAGCACTCTAACGTGCTCATTCACTGCTCGGATGGCTGGGACCGCACGAGCCAGCTGAGCGCCTTGGCCCAGCTCATGCTGGACCCGTATTATCGTACCATTGAAGGTTTTATTGTACTGGTTGAGAAAGATTGGCTCTCTTTTGGGCACATGTTCCAGTTGCGATCAGGGCACTTGAGCCATGAGAACTGGTTCGTGGTGGATAATGATGCCCTGGCTGGCTCAACAGTCCGGCCCGGAGACAGCGATAGTCGAGGAGACGCCCTTGAGAATGCACTCGCGAGCGCCAAGCGATTCTGGAACAAAAACATGGGAAATGAGAAGGATGCTCCTGCTGAGGCTGAGGAAGCTTCAGTAGTTGACGAGGCGAAACAAGCGACTGCGCCGATTGCCGAGGACCAAGCTACAAGGCCCAAAGACGTCTCTCCTGTATTCCACCAGTTCCTCGACGCGACGTACCAGCTTCTACGGCAGCACCCGACCCGCTTCGAATTCAACGAGCGCTTTCTTCGCCGCCTACTCTATCACGTCTACTCATGCCAGTACGGCACCTTTTTATTCAACAACGAGCGGCAGCGGCGCGAGGCGAGACTGCGGGAACGCACCCGCAGTGTTTGGGCGTATTTCCTGAGTAGGCGCCAGGAGTTCACGAACGAACAGTACGAGCCAACCATCGACGACCATATGAAAGGTCGAGAGCGGCTTATATTCCCACGGATAGATGAGGTGCGATGGTGGTACCAGGTTTTCAACCGCTCCGACGATGAGATGAATGGCGATATCAACGCCTCGCTCGTGACAGCGGAGCGCGTTGCGGCCTATCAAGCCTCTTCCGTATTGTCGGAGCCGACCGCCGCTGGCCGGGAGAGCACAAGCAGCCATTCCGAGGCCGGGTCTCGAGCTTCGAGTAGTCCCTCGCGCAGCCCGCAGCCGCCCGGCTTGCCTCAGAGCAGGTCGGTGCTCGCAGGAGTTGAGACTGCTCATACGGCGCTTACCCCTGATACGAGGACTGTGCCGTCGCTGAACCGTAGCGCAAGTTCGGGCGCATTGTCAGGGCCGCTCGGGACACTACAGGATAGGCTGTCTGGGCTGACCATTGGCAAAGGGGTATTTGGCGGCGTCGGCAGCTCGAGCACCGGTAGGAACCGCGGCGGCGGCCACAATGCGGATTCCAATAATAAGCCGCTTGTTAGTCACGATAGCGGTTTCTCGGAGGAGAGCGCGATGGAGCAGGAGATGAAGAGCATGGATTGAGAATCCGAGATAAACACGACTTGTGCTATTAGAAGCCAGGCTGTGTGTGATTGCACCCAGCGTAGCGTTATTTGAATACCTCCAGTCTCACGAGGAACGCGATCATGAATTGAGTAATGACATTTGAAAAGCGAACTTAAGAAGCTGCTACTGGACTCTGGGTTCCATGTTAATAATCAGTTGGTTGACCCTCTTCCGTTGGGGTGGTCGTCTGTACTGTACAGTACAGTCCCTGTAGCGTACAGTCCAATACATACGAAGTATCCATACCGTTACATCTGCCCTGCCCCGCAGCTGGAGGAGCACGCGGGTGCATAGGTATGTAGGCGCACGCACCGAGTGATAGGCAGCGCTTGGGACTTTTCTGTTAGTGAAAGGGAATTACACCGGATTACTGTATTTAACGCTCCCATTACGTTACCAAAGGCATTCATTGTTCCTGGCCAACAAGGGCACTGGGCAGCAAAGCAAAGTGACTGGGCCGGAGCTTCCCTCGACGTCGTTCGCGCACCTTGCATTCCCCAAAACCGCAACCCCATTTATTGCTCCCGTCATCAAATCCCCCCAAACCTGGCAATCCGATTTGGGCGTCTGAGTTCCCGACTCCTTTTTGTTGCGTGTGCCATGATCGCCAGTGCGCCTGCTACGAATCTGCGCTGAGGGAATAAACTTAGCAGCAGCTTCCAGTGACGCCAAACCACGCCGAAAAGCCAGAGCTTGCGTCTTGAGCTGTCCACAGCGTGGTTATTCCCATCCACAGCAGCGGCGCTCCGGTCGGCACCAACTTCCCACCATTACCCATTGCATCACATCCCACCCACACGCGATCCCAGCCGCCCTGTCCAGCCCAGCGCCTGCCCAAAAAAAGTCGACCCCCGATTCTGCGAAACAGAAACACACAACAAACCAGAACCCCTCCATCTCCTACGACAACTGCGTGCTCTTTTCGACAGCCGCACACCATGGCTGACGCGACTAACGCTAACGACGAGCTGTACCCCATCGCCGTGCTAATCGACGAATTAAAGGTATTGCCGTGGCAGGGCTTGCTGCCTTTCTGCGTGCGTGCTTTGGCTAACTTTGCTTAACAGCACGACGACGTACTTCTTCGCCTCAATGCCATCCACCGACTCTCGACCATTGCTCTGGCCTTGGGCGCCGAGCGCACCCGTGAGGAGCTAATCCCCTTCCTTGATGGTTAGACGTGCCCCGCCCCCGCCTGCTATCGCGCAGCCCGTACATGGCTAACCTATCCGGATACAGAGTCTGTCGAGGATGAGGATGAGGTGCTCGTTGCCCTTAGTGAGGAGCTGGGCACCTTCATCGAGTACGTGGGTGGTCCTCAGTGGGGTCACGTTCTACTCTCCCCGCTCGAAAACCTTGCCGCCATAGAGGAGCCCGTTGTGAGAGATAAGGTATGCGCAAGCGTCGCAGCGTCCGCGGAAGTTGGGTCCAATCGGCTGACACGTTTCTTTGTACAGGCCGTGGAATCGCTGAACAAGATCTGCAACGAGCTCTCGCCTCAACAAGTCGAAGAGTACTTCATCCCTCTCACAATCCGCCTCTCCAAGGCCGACTGGTTCACGTCTAAAGTATCGGGCTGCGGCCTGTACACGACACCGTATTCCAAGGTCTCTCCGCCCATCCAAGAACAGCTCCGGCAGCAGTTTGGCCAGCTGGTCCATGATGACACGCCTATGGTGCGCCGCCAGGCGGCGACCAACCTCGCCAAGTTTGTCAAGGAAATGCCTGCCGCGATTGTTGTTGAAGAAATGATACCCATGTTCCAGCACCTCGTTCAAGACGACCAAGACAGTGTCCGCCTACTCACAGTCGAGGTCTTGATTTCCATCGCAGAGGTGGTCCCCAAGGAGCAGCAGGCAAGTCACGGCGTCCTCCTGAGCTCGCTGCGTAGCTTGATAGACGACAAGAGCTGGAGAGTCCGGTACATGATTGCGGACCGGTTTGAGAAGGTTTGTCAGACCTCACCTACGTTGACTGCCTACCCTGAGATTGACTGGGTGTTTTTCAGATTGCCAAGGCGGTCGATGAGGAGGTGGTTGCCAGGGATCTGGTCCCTGCCTTTGTGAAGCTGCTCAAGGATAACGAAGCCGAGGTGCGGACAGCTATTGCTGGCCAGATCCCTGGGTTTTGCGCCCTGGTAGACCGCAAGACCCTTCTCAACGACATCATGGTTACCGTCGAGAACCTGGTGTCGGACAGCTCCCAACACGTCCGTGCTGCTTTGGGGACACAGATTAGCGGTCTGGCTCCCATTCTGGGCAAGCAGGAGTAGGTTCTCGCTTCGCATATCACCCCGTGGCCCAGGTTATTGACTCTGCTAGGACTATTGATCACTTGTTACCAATGTTCCTCCAGATGCTTAAGGATGAATTTCCGGAGGTCAGGCTCCATATCATTTCGAAACTGGAGCTGGTAAATCAAGTGATTGGAATCGACCTGCTGGCGCAATCGCTCCTCCCAGCTATAGTGCAGCTCGCCGAGGACAAGCAGTGGCGCGTGCGGCTCGCTATCATCGGCCATATGCCCTTACTTGCCAGTCAGCTGGGTGTCGAGTTCTTCGACGAGAAGCTCAGCCAGCTCTGTATGGGCTGGCTTGGTGATACGGTCTTTTCGATCCGAGAGGCGGCCACCCATAACCTCAAGAAGCTTACCGAGGTCTTTGGTGTCGAATGGGCGAGCGAGGCGATCATTCCCAAGGTCATGGCTATGGGAGCCCACCCTAATTATCTGTACAGGATGACAACGTGCTTTGCCATCAACGTAAGGGTTCCCGTTTTTCCCAGGCGGCAAATCGATGACTGACAATTTACAGACACTGGCCAGCGTCGTGACAATCGACGTCATCGCCAAGTCGATTCTACCTATGCTGGAGAAGCTGACAAGCGATGACATTCCCAACATCCGCTTTAATGTTGCAAAGACATACTCCGTCTTGATTGGGGTGTTGCGTCGGCTGCCGGACCAGGGCACCATTTACACATTGGAGCAGGCCAAGACTCCGTTCACACCGTCCCCCAGGGGGCAACAGCTGATCGACGAGCGAATCATGCCCAGTCTAGAGAAGCTTCAGAAGGATGACGACGTGGATGTGCGGTATTTCGCGACCACGGCGGCGGCAGCGGCGACGGGTGCGGTTGTAGGCGGTGGAGAGCCCATGAACACATCACCATAAAGAAGTATCTACAGAATTGGCGCTCATTCCATGCTATCGCTCATCGTCGTCCCCGCTGGAGCACTCGTAATCAAGCAATGTGAGCCCTCCAATCAGGGTAGATACGATGTTGAGCATTTCCCAAGTACATGCTGTTGTTGGGTGAGAGGATCTAAGCAGCAGCATCCTTGGCGGAAATTATGAATGTTTTGAACGGACAACCAGCCAGTGTTTGGCAGATGTGTGGCATACGCTTGGGCCAGTGAACCAACACCTTGGCCATAGCGACTGTTGAAGGGAAGCACTTTGGAGAGAAGTGTAGATCAGGAGCTAGATTATACCAGATTTTCAAAAGCTTCGCCTTGTCGTGACCTGGGTTTCAGGGGTATCTTAACGTGTATTCATGTCTTCGACCTTGGTACGGTCTGCTACCTAGGCTGCAACTTTCTGGAAACACAAGGTGCTGATTGTCTGCCCCTTGACGCCGCCAAAGCTAAAGCTGGGGTATTCTATCCTTCCCGCAAGCCGCAGCCTCGCCCCAGTTTCCGACCCGGCCGTCCTGTCCTCGAACCAGCCGCGCAGCTCCTTTTCGGTCCAGTTACAGCTCGTCACGAGGAATAATCCGCCGTCCCGGAGGAGCTGCAGCACGCGCTCGCCGTAGCGCTCGCAGACCCGCCGCCCTTGGGCGTCGAGCTCCCCGCTGAGGCTGACGGCGTCAAAGGTGCCCTTGTCGAGGACGACATCCCACCCTGCGCTTGCACTCGTGGTACCGCCAGGTATGCTGCTAGCGGTGGCCCGCACATCATCCAGCTCCCCGCGCAGCACATCCCACACTTTGAACTCTACGTCCCCTTCCCCTTCCCCTTCCCCTTCCCCTTCCCCATCCGTAACCATATCCTTGACCCCCCGTCTGGACCTGGACCTGCCCACCTGCCGAGCAAGCTGCACGCTCCGCTCGCTGTAATCGACGCCGAGCAGCCTGCCGCGCCAGCGTACCTCACTTTCACCCAAACCCTCACCCTCATTTTCATTGTCATCATCATCCTCATCCTCATCACCGTGGTCGTGGCCGTAGCGGAGGGCAAACAGCAGACTGCCGTTGCCGCAGCCCAGGTCAAGGACCGAGGCGGTGCTTGGGTCCAGACCAAAGCGGTCGCGGTGCTCGGGCGCGTTGAGGAAGGCCACCATCTTCGCCTCTGCGTCGGCGTCGTCGAACCACACGGTCCCCTCGTCGGCCGGGTTGTCGGCGTGGTTGGTCAGCTCGGCGGCGTACAGCTCGTCCCAGCTATTGGAAGGAAGGAATGGATGTTAGTGTTGGTGTTATAAAGGACCAGATTGAGATGATTGAACCATCAATCTTATATGCGTATAACATGTACTTGACCGGGAAAAGGTAGGGATGTAAGACGACAAGCTGGGGAAGGAGTATTACTATTCTTTCGTCCCTAGCTTTGAGGGATCGAGGTGGGTTGGGGCATTATCATCTTGCATCATTCCCAGCTGGGTAGACACTGAATTGGCCTGTTTTGTAATTCAAAGGGAAAGCCTGTTGGTCTTGATAGTGCAAGCAAGAAAGGGATAAGATAGCACCAGTCCGATTCTGCTTGATTGATGGTGGGGTTGAATCATGATAATCAAGTCCGTTGCCGTCAAAATGGAGGGGCAGCTTGATGTCCGAATCAGGAAGGCGGTCAAGCCACAAGTACTCTACATAAGGTTCGAAGGGACATGGCGTTCACCTTGCCAAACTGTTGCTCAAGCATCCCCCTCCGTACTCGTCAGGGCTTCATAATTGCCATCTGCCCCACCACTGCGTGGAGGGTCAGGGACGCTGATTGGGAACAAACTTTTGATTGGGAAAATTGAGGTACTTCCATTTGCTAGCGCACTCCATATAAATTTAGATATACTAATTTTCGTGCATTATACTATCAAAGTCTATAACATAGTGATTTATCCACTATAGGTAACATGTAAGATTACTCGATTAGTTGCATCTACCTATCTTAACAGCATTATAAATATCGCTCTATTGCTACTATCCCTCTAATATAGGCAACAAAGCAATGCAATCTACCTATAAGCATTAGAAAATAGTTATATACTATATATATAGCTTTGAAGTATATATAAGCTTATATTTTTACATTGTACTAGCGTGGTTCGATAATGCACATGCATGCAAGCAGTATAGATCCAAGAAGACAGTATGACATTGGGTTGCTAACAAATTTGTATGGTAGGGCATGTAGTGGCGTCAAATTTCCCAATCAAAAGTTTATTCCCAATCAGCGTCCCTGACCCTCCACGCAGTGGTGGGGCAGATGGCGATTATGAAGCCCTGACGAGTAGGGCCCGCCCGAAATGCGAGAGACCCAATCTAATCGACTTCAACCATTACAATTTAGAGTATTAACACACCATAACCAGGGTATATAAGTAGACATGGCCTGAACCAAAATTAAGCAAGCCCAGGTTCTTTCATGCAAGAAGAGGGGTGTCATCCGAGTCCTTGAGTGAAAAGCATGGGTAAATCTGGGGCTCGTTCCAACATGGATCCAGCACCAAGCACAACCTGAGACCCAGACTCTGTGGGCTCCTCATTCAGCTCCACCAGTCTTCATCAACGCAGGGCACGCTTTCCATTTTTATCCCAAATCCATCGCTAAACCTTAGCCTCCTCGCCTTGATCCCTCTCTCTGCTTGCGGGGATGCTCTTGTCTTCATGCTCATACGTTCGAGTGCGGTGCGTCGCTGAGTTCAAAAGAAGAAAAAAAAACCGTAGCTACCCTGCCATGCTAGCCTTATTCACACCTCCTCGTACCATCCATGAAACGCGACATCTAAAGACGGTCGTTCAAGCCAATGTCCACACTGGCGCCTTGACCAGGACCTGGCGACCCCTGACCTCGACGGCAACAAATCCTGCAAATCGTACCTTACCGGGGTCCTTTGGCGGAGTGGGCCCTGGTTGACCACCGCCTTCAGCAATGCTGCCCTTCCTGCTACCGGGAGCGCTGCCACCTCCGCCCATGACGCTCATCATGCCCGTTCTCGACTTGTCGCCGCGTTGGCCTTTGCCATCCTTGGCCGCATCCTTGCCATCGTCTGCTGTGCCCTCTTCAGCCATATCTGACGACCGTGCGTCCAAGGAGGGCAAGCCCGTCTTCTCCACCTCCATCAGGTCCGGCTCGATTGGCTGCTCCGGTACGGGATAGATGATGGCCACGTCACGGCTCTCGAGCGGAAGGTTGCTCGCGATACCAACGGCTAGCTCGACAATCATGCTGGCGCTCCCGTCAACCCCGGCCGGCGGCGGGTCATTCAGATGCTGGAACAGCCACGCTGTAAGATTGCTTGTTGCACGCCGTGTAAAGTCATTCTTGTGATTCAAGCTCTCGGGGCTCCGGAGAACATCCTGAAGGCCCTCGAGTGTCGCCATCCGCCAGCTCACCACCTTACTTGTCAGAGCGTCAAACTCTTCTTGGCTATTCATGGTATAGCTAAAGTTCCGGATGTTGTGCTCAATAACTTTCAACTGCCTGCTAAGCTCAGGGTCCAGGCCTGGGTGGAAGCAGCGGTTAAACACCTCTTCCACGATCCAGCGGGTGATGACAGCACGCCCTACCGCCGTCATTTCCTGCTTGCCCGTCTTAAGAGCGTCAGCACTGACGAACGGAACCAGCCACTGCGGTAGCGACTGCCAGTCCTTGCGTATGTTGAAGGACAGGTTGTTAATTGCGCCATTGAGGCGGTTGAAGCGCGTCGTGTATTCGTTGTCATCCAGCGATGTCCGGCTCTGAGACATGCGCTGGTTGGCAATGGCGTTTTGAAGCTGCTCGACCTGGCCGCTCAATTGCTCAATTTCCTTCTTGCCTTCAAAATACAGTCGCTTAACATTTTTGTACTTGGTCACTGCAAGGAGCTTTGAGTTAGCAGGGGATGCCCAGAACACACACGGAGCTATAGTCAGTCATACAAAGATCTTTGAACTGCTTATCAGGATCCTCAGTGGGGCGGTCTGCGGACGGGGGCTGGGGGCTGTTGCGCCCCTGGATTTCAGCCTGGCCTTCAAACTGCTGCCTGTCTGGTGCGTTGTTCTGGCGGAAGTTTGGGTGCTGGCCACCCGGATTCGGGGCCGGAGGGAGGGGGTTCATGTTGGACTGCTGGCTTTGCCGGTAATTGGGCGGCGGACCGGGCGGCGGCTGTACTTGGTCGCGCAACCCCTTTTCCGCGTCTTGCGATCTCCGCGGCGGCGGCGGCCCGCCGGGTGGTGGGGCCATGGACTGCTGCTGCGGGGTTTGAGATTGAACCGCAGCTGGTGGGTTCGTACGCCCGGAAAGATCGTGTGTTTGCAGCGAGTACGTTAAACCGGGAGATGTCTGCCCTGTTTGTGCGTGGATATTCGTGGCCGAACGTTGGTCTGAATCGGTGACAGGTGATTCATGCGACAGTTGGGACACAGTCTCGGCGTTCTGCTGCTGCGGGTTGGCAAGTAGGCCCGAGAAGTTAGGCGGGTTGCCCCCCTGATAGTGCGTCTGCTGCGTGTTCGCGAATTGGTACTGCTGAGGCTGCTGATGGGGCGCTACCTCAAACACTGCCTGGCCGTACTGCTGATGTTGGAGCTCAGGGGGAACCTGCCCGTGGGCTTGCACGTGGTTTCGATGTTGGCGATGTCCTGTATCCTCAGTGGGGTATGGTGACGATTCCACGTCCGAAGGGGGAACAGGGCGGATCGTGGGATGCTGGATGTCGTGAGGGTTCTGCAGGCGTAAAGCGGGGTCGGATCCGTCACCGACATACGACGCGCGGAAATCCCCTACACCCTGCAGCGGAGATGGCTGGTTTGGAGCCGCCTGGTTCTGCCACTCGAGCTGCTGCTGCTGATCGAGGGAGATCTGGGAGAGCTGCGAGGCGCCGGTCCGGATGCTTGGAGGGGCTGCCGGAGGAGGAACGCTCACCCGCTTGGAATTCCGGCGGGCTGGCCCGGGAGTTGCGGTGGTGTTGTAGGGATTCTGCTGCTGCTGCACCTGGGGAGGGTGGTCTTGTCCCCGAAGTATATTCTTGATCAGCTTCCGAGTGGATTGCTTTGTCTTTTGGGGCTGGGGCGGGGGCTGTTGCTGCTGGCTGAAAGCTGGCTGCGGGGTGCCAAGAACGGGGGACGAGATGTTCTGGGACCCGCCGACCGAGAGATCTTCGGCTGAGGCAGAACCTGGCGGGTGTTGCAACAACTGCGGTTGCTGCTGCTGTGGTGGCTGTTGCTGTTGTTGATGTTGTTGTTGCTGCTGTTGCTGCTGTTGCTGCTGCTGCTGCTGGAAAAGTTGTGTAGAGATCGGGGGAACTTGGGAATTGTTGAAGCGGTGGGAATGCGATTGTGAGCGTGTCACCTGGTCAGCAAAGTCGGTGTCTCTCTGTCCGGTCTGCCGTGAGTCAGACACTCCAGTGACGCTGTTCGAGTGTTGCAGCGGCGGGAGATTGGATGGATTGGGGCCGCCAGCAGCGCTGCCGTAGATGTTGACCAAATGTGGCGGCGGTGGAGGGGGTTGCGAGTGATTACTCCGGTCGCCGCTCGAGTCGGGCTGAAAGGATTCACTGGAGCTGAAGACCGGGTTGGGCAAGGCTGATGAGGGGTTTGCAGCACCGGTGCTCGCACTTGGGGGGTTTGCACCTGCAGCTGATGCGGGCAGCGGAGCAGAATCCTCGGCACCCGTCGACCCAACAAGATTATGTTGGGAGCGGTTGTTCTTGCCAGACCAGTAGATCCGTGGAGGCATTATTGCGCTGCTAAGGAAGGAATGGGGCGGGGCGCAATCAGATGAGATGGGATGGAAGTCGCGAAAGGCGGTCACTGCTGCGACAATGAGTGACCCAGATCTCGGGGGCGTCTGACTGGCCTGGGGCCAGGTGTGATGCGCGTGCAATCTGCTGTGCTGTGGTGCGGTGCGGTGCGGGGAGCTCAACCTAGCGGGAAACACTGGATGGCAAACCTTCAAGCCGTAACATGGGACCCAGCAGACGGACACGACGCGACAGCACAAAGCAGGGCAGCGCGCAACCACGAGTCCTGTCGCAAGAGTGGCGAGCAAGCCCAGGGTCGGAGGGACCACCGGTTCCAAAACCCTGAGATTGCAGATTGCAGGCCCGTCACAGCGCGCGGAACAGGAGTCGGGGGTTTGCTGGACCTGGACGCCTTAGAAGCGAATTGGAGGAGGGACGAGCTGGAGAGATGGGACGAAACATATCTCAGAGAGAATCCCATGCAATTCTACCGGGCTGTTTGCTGCTCGTGGGTGGGTTATTTGTCGGCGTGCCCCTCACGGGTAGCCTGGTACGGGGTTTAAGTGAATTGCTGTAAGTAACCTAGACCAGGGGTTACGCAGCCCGAACTATCCGTATTACAGAGGTAACTAACGATAAGGTAAGGTAATGGCCCGGGGGCCAGGTGCCTTGATGATACTTTGCTTCGGGCTGCCTTCGAGGCTGTGCTCTCCATAGTCCCATCGCATAAAGGACGAAGTGAAGGTTGTAGGTTGTATAAGGTCAGGTACATAAGGTACGTGTGCTGTGTCAGCAACTTGGTGATCTTGACGATACCTTATGTGTAGAGGCTCTTATTGTGCATTCTGAATTCCGATTCCGTCCTCGTTACTAGTAATGGGAGAAAATGACTCTCTAACTCCTGTCAATCCAGGACATCAGGTAGGTAGGGTACCTAGAGGTGAGCTTTTGAGGGTTGAAGTGCCATGCAGAGAAGCTAACCTCAGGCTGCAGCTGGACCCCCTTGACAGCTTCTTGACAGATTGCTGCCCTTGAGCTTTCAAACCTTATAAACCTTAGGTACTGTACTGTACTCCAGGTTCTTACCAAGAGGAATTGCTTGTCTTCGAAATTGGCAGGCTCTGGGTATATACTCGATGAAATGGCCGGCACCGCACATAGAACCTATCTGGGGCCTCGGTGTCGCTACTTGTAAATTCCATCACGCTCCCTTGACATTGGACAGATTGTTGCTTGCTGTGCCCCAAGTGTTTTATTCATATCTGGTTGTTAGTCAACGTATGGATGAATTGCGGTAATGTATGATGTATTTAACTTCAATGTAATGCAGCTACTTCGTAATTCCCTCGTTCCAGCCCCGAGTCCCGACACATCTCGAGAGATTGACCAGATCCATGGGGCTGGACGCTCAACACAAAGGTCACTTGTCGGTCCTGTGGCCGCGGACACAGCACCATTACTCCGCTTTCTCTTTGAAAAGCCTTTCTCCTCTGAACCCCTTCTTTCCAGCGATGGCCAAGTCTTACGGAGGCCGCAGAATATTCCGTATCTGGCCTGCTTGTGGAGACCAGATTGTTGGGCTAGTCACGTCTAATAATAGTAGCACCTAGTAACACCAGTGGAGAAATATTTTACATGTAGTGGATGTACATACATACCTTACCTGGGTTTCAAACTCCGTACAGACACTAGTAGGAATGAGATGTCCAGCATTTGAATGCAGATATGCGACGACGCTTAACAGCTTGAATCCAAAAACCAGCCTTTCAGTCCTTCGCCCAATCACTAGAGACTCTGCATCCCATCTGGCCCAGCATCGAAAGGTTTTAGCAGCCCTGCCAGGAACACTGGCCACCCTGGCAACCAGAGATGGATAAACTACCTACCTACGGAGTACTCTCGTCCACAAGCCATACGTGACACAGGCAACTTCAAGGTTACACGCATCAGCTTCCAACCGAATGGCTGGATAACTAAGATGACTACCTGTTTGACACATTTCTTAGGCACGAGACTGGATCCAGAGCAAGAGAGATACACCCAGGCACTAGGGAAAGTGTTGCGAGATCGCTGCTCCTGGTGTCCGCTTTTGCCTTCATTGTGCCCTCTATTATCTCTGGACTGATACGGGCGATGGTCTCGAACTACCCACGTAACTTGCCTCTACATTCGCCAGCTTGTGATACGCCTGGAAGCGGTAAGAATTCCCCTTGGCACCTAATATACAACCGAGGATCAAAAGCGATACGCCGAGCCTACTCCAAGTGACAAGATTCGCTGTTGCCAATCATGATTGGGCAAAGCTAGGTGGCTCAGTGAACGGTTCTTCGCATGCTCAACATTGAAGTATGGTTCGCGGAAGTATTAAACTTGACCGTTGGCAAGGATGTGGCAGGTTAGTGAGAGCAGAATCGTTGACTTGAATTGATAGATTCTGGAACCTGCAAACAGTCTTCAAGCGTTAGCGATCTGAGTAGATTGACAGACAAAACTGAGCAAGGCATCAAAAAGGGGTAATCTCGGAGTGCCGTTCTTTGATAGTCTCGTTGCGCTGTTCAGGCGGCAACGAAGCAACCACACCAAATCCACCTCCGCACAGTCCAGCTCCGGGTGTGTTGACGGCCGTTGGTATCTATTGGCTCTAGATGATATCGAGAGCATCTCTGTTTATTGGCAAAAGTTACATATTTAGAGACCGTGAAAGGTCGATCGCTTCACAGACCTGCTCCACCCATGAAGCTGCGAAGGTATCCCAGTCCCAATGCTAAGACTAAAGCGGGTACGATGTCTCCGGGAGAGACTCGAGATGTTTCCTATGGTGTTCATTGGCCTGGCGAACCGAGCGGGTTAGCGAAGCCGTCCTCTGGTCGTTTCGCCCCGCTAGCATAAGCATATCTGGGCGAGGGGTAGCTAAAACCTACAAAAGGCAGCCCACAGTAGCCGCAGGTCGCAATCTCTGGCTTGTCCGTGTTAATATAGATCTTGGGATGTCCGGTAGGCCCGCCGCCACCGTCACAGGCCACGATCCGAGCGTGCGTCCACCGCACGGGCTGCTGGTGGATGAGCTCAATGGCGGCATAGGGTTGGGGCTAAACCGGGAATTCCAGTATTGTCAGCTTTCTTTTCCTTATGACCCTTTGTCCGGTTCGATTTGACTCCCTCTCGGCATTTCGGAAACCCACCTGCGCATCGAGATCCGTCTGCTCGAACCTCGGCCCCGTCATGGCCGTCGATCGCGGCTTCTGACTCCGCGACCAAACCTCTGCGCGGTTCGGTGCCTGCGAGACAGTTGTGGGTACCGGGCCCTCGGTCACCTGGGGTGTGGTCTGGGTATTGGCGGTCGTGGCAGTCGTTACTGTCGATGGGGTTGAGGGATACTCCAATTGCCGAACCGTGACGCTGAATGGCCGTTTCGAGAGATGCCGGGGCAGCCCTTGGGCCAAGACCCGCAGCCGCGAGGCATACATTATGCTATGCAGTTCGAGGTGTTTTGGCGAATATCGAGCCCTCCTGCCTGTGGTTCAAGTCGGGGAACAATCGCGCAGTTAAGCGACTAACGTTGAGGTCACGATACAGGTATCCCCAGGTAATTGGAAATGTGTTACCAGCTGTGGCTGAGCTGTGGCTGACTTTCGAAGAGTGAAGAGCTTGGTCAGTCCATGGCCCGTGCGGGACACTGCGGGCATTTGCTGCCAGTTGCCAAGTTGCCAGTCTTGGACTCTTGGCACTTGGCCAACGTTATCGTAGCTCAGCGTAGCTTTTCGCGCTCGCCGCGTTGGCTTTGATAACATTCTCTTTGGGCTGATTTTTTGATCGACTTTGAAGACGAGATATCTTCACCGTACTGCACACCCACTTCTCACGGCCCACTAACAGAGAGTCCAGAGACACTGATTTTCCGTTTTATACCCAACACACGACGACATTGAAATAACTGTAGTCGACAAGCATGGCGCCTACTCCGGCCGGAATACCGGCCATGGCGAAGCAGCCCACACCGAAAACCATGTCCTCTCGCCTGATGACCATGAAATTTATGCAGAGAGGTGCTGCCGCAGCAGCGTCGGCGGAAGCCTCGGGAAATAGTTCACCAGTACCCCCAAGGAGCGATGATGGTTCGACCAAGCGACGAAAGACTTCGCACACGCCTGTGGCAGGCCCTGCACCAGCCGCGCCGCTCTATGACCAAAAGGCGATTCAGTCTGCATTAGAGGAGGAAGAGAAGAAGCGCCAGGCTGCCATTGAAAAGCGGGCGGCCGAGCTGGGCGACTCGCACTGGGTACTGAAAGGCGTGCCCGCTCCTAAGACCAGCTCTCGCCCGCTCCTGAATGTTGTTCAAGTTGGGTTTGCTCAGATTGACCATGCAAGCACGTCAGGAGGAAGCGAGGATCCCTTTACGGAGGGCGACTCGGCGGCTTCGGCAAAATTTAAGAGGTTCAACATCAACAAGTCTAAAGTATGTGCAGGCTATCACAAGCACCTAGTGGCCAAATATTAATGACAACAAACTCATAGGCTCAGAAGATAGGGCAGGAGGAGGACGACAGTAGCGATTCCGATTCCAGCTCCGACTCGGAGGACGCCGAAAATGAGAATCTGCCAGTGTCCGCGAGAGACGAGCCCGGCCGCGGCCGTCGAACTGCCGCAAGCGACCTAGAGCGCAAGCGGTCGAGATCCAGCGTATCAGGCAGGAGGGAAGAGGAACGGAGGAAGGCGCAGCAGCTTGCGGGCAAGAGGCGGAAAAAGGATGTCAAGCTAAATCAACTGACCTCCATATCATCAGCAGGCTCACAGGCTTTTCAGCGGCCCTCCCCGGGTCTGTCTTGCCATGGTTGTGGGAAACCCGGCCACAAGGTGGCAGATTGCCCGAGCAAGAAACGCTAGGGCATGACGCTCTCCCGTCATGTCCCGTCGATTATGCCGGCGTTGCCTTTCTCCCTTTCCCGGCCTTCTCTTAATTGATGGTATCCCCGTCTGATGTTCGATTGTGTCCCGCTTCGTTGCCTACGACAGTCCTATTCGCCCGAGCATACGACTGGGCATTCTCAGTTGGTTCAGGCTCAGCCCGGAATTGAGTGGTTGACGGCCTTCGTCGAACGTTGAAGGCGCAATTATCGAATACCATCGCCCTCTATGGTGGACGGCATGGGTGGCTTACAGCTTTCCATGTCACCTAAGCAGCACCCTATTCTATACCCCAGGCCAGGCTCCCCGCATGCTCCTGGAAGGAGCAATATCTCATACGCTGCTCCCCGTATCCTGCCGGCGACATTGCGGAGGAGGTGTGCCACGAAAATGCATGAGAGCTGGTCAAGGCTCAAAGGACCGTTTTCCCTGAATATCAAAGCCGGGTTGCCGGTGACGAGCCGGAAAGGGCGGATGTATCCGTCTCGTCCATGTGTCTATGTAATGCCTACCAGCTGCGATGGCCGCGAAACCCAAGGGCTACGGCAATATGGTTCAGGGATGTATAAGCAGGGAGATGTTTGATTTTTATACAGGGCCAGGCAGAAACGGCTACATGCACGGGTTCCTTTTGCCGCAGCCTACAATCGCACCGCACTGCACGATTGACAGCTACTGGGACTCATGTCCGCTCCGCTCGAGCGGCTTAACCAGCCGTCCTGCGACTTCTTTCCGGGTAAACTCTGAACCTGGCTGAAAATGGCTGGAGATTCCGACAAGGCGGTCCGCGGGACTGAGCTATCCCTTTCGGGACTCGTTGCTCGACGCTTTCGGCAGGTCAGGACACCACTGCCGTGTCGATATCCAGCATCCGGATTAGAGTCTGCGGCGTCTGGGCAATCAGCCTCGCACAGGGATTCACGCAACCAAATCATTCAACATCGGGCCGGCGCTTCCCTGGACCAATTCCACCATGTCCAGCGGATTCTCGGCCCCCGGGCGATCTCTTCTGCGAATCCTCGGTGGTCATTTCGGATGCAGTTGCATTCAGGTGCGGCGTGCCCGGTGCCGTTCCCAGGGTACAATACATACGTTGTTGTGTCATTCTTGCCCCGGCCCATGGTTTTGCGGCCAGAGGAACAGGCTCTGTAGACCGAAAGATCAGATCAGGCCCTGCCAGAGGCTGGCATGCATAAATCGACGTCTCTCGGAACCAGCGGTACAATTTAACACAGCCTGGAGAATGCGTCGCGCATATTCCCTAACAGCGGAACAGGGTATGCTTTGGGGTTAGCCGCCAATCCTGCTCGTCTGTTTCCCGGCCAAGGTTCACCAAGTAGCCGATGAAAGGCGGAGGAGTAGGACATCATCCGGGTGTGAACCATATTATGCCAGATTTGGTTCGGCTCCTTCATCGCACCGCCTTGTTGCAGGTGAAGTCACCGTGGGTGCCGCGACGGGTCGCAGGAACGCCAGCGTCATGTGCATCAGCTTCCGTCCATTCTAATCCCCACCAGATGCATCATCAGATGGGCGATCTATGCGCCCAGAAAATTGGCCTACCTGGTAGTTAAGAAAAACTGGTATGCTACTTCCCCAGATCTTGCAAGATCACCATGCGCCCTTGCACAGACTCTACGGTCCGTGGCACAATGTTGCAGGGTTACAGAACAGAACAGGGGGTAATTGGTGGGTTCACTCTCGATTCTCGAACCCCGCCAAAGACCCTAGGAGCTTGCTTCCTCCTAGCCAGATACGAACATCAATATGCAAGAACGGGTGAAAACGAGGTTCTCACAGATCCGCTATGAGCCGGTGAATCAGGCGCGAGAGAGGGTACTGCGGTAATGAAGGTCTATTGGTGGTCAAGCCGGTTCAAAGCACGACATTTGGAGCATCTTGAATCGGATGGATTCAACTGCTCGCCTACGCTGTAAGCTCCTCCCCTGGGAATATCCGTACGGGATGTCTGGTCTGGTGCCGCGGCCCAGACTGTAAGCCGAATTCTTCTCGATCGCTATACCTGCAGCAGAGAATTGCATCCCCACGGCAGCGGGCCTCTCTAGCGTTCTGTTCAATGTAGTTTAGCTGCTGACCGGACACAGCAGCCGAGCGGGATGGGTCTCGACCTGCATGCCGCTACTTTACCTGGGAATTGCCTTCTCTTGGTAACTCGGTTCATCTCGAACCACTGGCTAGCTTCCGTTGAGATGTTGGAGTAGGCCCGCCCTCGTATCCAGTATGGGTGTGCCGAAAGAGACTCTCAGAACCTTCCCCTAGAGGGACTCTTCGCTTACGGAAACACAGCCCGTTCGTTTCCGTGATCACCTACAGAATACGGGTTGGAGTCGACTCATTCATCCAAGTATTTCACTTGCAGATCGTTCGGGAAATCGAGATTCTTTTGCCTGATACCCCTTAGACAACCGTTGAACTTAGTTAGTTACCACCTTCGTGTTTTTTTCCCACCCGGGCCGATTCCATCTGGGATGTAAGTAAAGGTAGTTAGTAAACTTGGATTATCATATTGACAGGTCACCATACTATCACGCTATTGCCTATCATCAGGAAGACCGCGCCGGCGGATAGGTACACATCCATGACGCTATGCGGCCGACGGGTCAATATCCCTCTCAAGACAACGTAGACCTGACGTCTAACCACTTGGACGGTAGATTCAGACGAAGTATACTGGGTGGTGGTCCAAGTTGTTATGGACAATCTACCTGCGATCAACGTAGCCACATGGTCAACTTAGTCAAAGGCTTGTATATCTGTCACAGAATGGACAACACGACTATACTCAAGCTTGGGTGTGCGATTTGAATAGTAATCTGTAACTTACATACTAAACTGTAAGTGACATGCCGTTGGAGGCATTGTCCGTGACCACGACTTCGACGTAGCCGAGGATGAGTGATGCTCGAAGAGTCGAAAGTCCTTTCATCTCCCCTACCGACCTTTACCTTTACTTTTGTTTCTTCATATTAGCGCCGTGTTGGCCTTTTGGGTGGGCGATCCGCATTGCTCGTCTCATCGGTCGCTCATGCCTCAGCCTGTCATAAATCGGGCCTCGGGAGAGTTAAGCAAGAACCACCAATACACAAACGTGCAGCTGCTCCATTGTGGTCCCGGCCCTGTTTCCATGTTGGTGTCTGTTGGCTGTTGGTCCTGGATATCCAGTTATTAGCTTTGTACGGCACCACACTGCTGCGAGATGTTGGACATTCTCGTGCGCTTGATACCATCCGTCCATTCACATGAACCGCCCGGAACTCCAGGCGAGGTGCACCGCGCTTGTTGAGCTCAGCATTTGCATTCACTCACCCCTCCTGGGGGGCGTCTCCGAAAGCTCTCTCATCTTTTCAATGCCACAGAATCAAGCAGGTTTCCCGTTGATCGATCGGCCTCGACAATCACATCCGCTGCCGTGTTACTTTGGTATCTTGATAGGTTAAACATGGCGTCTTTTGTGTTGAGCGCTGAGCGGGATCTGGCATTCGAGGACGTTGAGTGGTCAGTTTTAGTGGTCTTCGAGGCCTTGACTTAAACCACCCCCTGCACCCCTCCCCCCTGTCCATATCCTGGTCCTTTAATCAATGCCTGAGTCCTTGTGCTTTCGAGAATGCTTCCAATCGACATCCCGTCTTTTACTAGCACTCTTATAGCTCGAGAATCATCAATTGTGTGTATCGAGCGGGTCGTTGCCTTCTCTCCGTCCGTATCATTTCCCCAGGCGCCGTTCGACTGCGCGTCCCCGCGAGAAGGAAAGCGCCCGGCGATCGTCTATCGTTGGCCACCCACAGCAGCCTGGAGTTGCTCGACAACCCCCCATGCTGTCTGCGTCAGCGTCGCCCACATATAAAGGTCCCTCGATGCCGGGGGCTCCCGGTATGGGGTTCCTGAGCGATTGAGTCGAAGTCACAGTATGAACGCATCTTGCTTCTTCTCTGATAATCTGGTTGATCAGGACACGCAGCTCCTCCGCAGTCATCTGTCATCTTTGAAGTACTAGTGGTATAATATTTGAGGTCCTTGCCTTGCCCTTGTTGGATCGGTCGACCATCTGCCACAAACCTGGAAACGCGCGCCCAACATCTCCAAGCTGCACGCTTCTGTTCACCGACACACATGCCCTAAGCCGTTCCTCGAATCCAACTCGTTGGGTAAGCTTCCTTAGCCTTGCAAGCGTGCCCCACACATCGCACAGACTGGCTCTGGGCCGCCGCAAACTACTGTATTGTACATTAGCTTACTAGTCTTAGTGTATCGACTGCGTCGTCACGACCGAATCTGCGGTGTCGTCTCTGCCGCTCGCCCCCACTCCCAGCACCCCTCGTCCGTTGGCAGACCTGCCCGTGGCGCTGTTTGAACTGTCCCACAGGCATCGTTCAGGCGTGTGCTTTCGGCCAGCCACCATCCTTTACCGTCACGAAACCGACGAGCCTCCGCGATGCCAGTCGCACGCCCAAATGCGCGGTCCTCCGGGGACGCGCCGGTTGCTGCGGACCGTCCGCCCAGCAGCGACGTCGAGGTTGTCACAGACCGCTTGGAGACTCCCTCTCTCGACGACCGGTCCTATCGGGTCATCCGCCTGCCCAACCAGCTCGAGGCCCTCTTGGTCCACGACCCAAAGACGGACAAGGCCAGCGCTGCCATGGATGTCAATGTCGGAAGCTTTAGCGATGAGGACAGCATGCCGGGAATGGCTCACGCGGTAGAGCATGTAAGTCGCATCTCGCACGTGGACATAATAGGCCACACCCGAATATCACCCAATATGCATGTCACAGGGCTAACTGAAACCGTCACAGCTTCTGTTCATGGGCAACAAGAAATATCCAGCAGAAAACGCCTACCACCAATACATTTCGGCTCATTCTGGGCTGACCAACGCCTATACCGCGGCGACATCCACAAATTACCATTTCGAGGTTTCTGCGAAGCCGACTAATGGCGAGGAGCCATCCGCTACCAATCCGTCGCCGCTGCTAGGGGCATTGGACCGCTTTGCCCAGTTCTTCATTGAGCCTCTGTTCCTTGCTAACACCTTGGACCGCGAGCTCCGAGCGGTTGACTCGGAAAACAAGAAGAATTTGCAGAGCGATCAGTGGCGCCTGCATCAGCTCAAGAAGACATTGTCGAACCCCAAGCATCCGTTTTGCCATTTCTCCACTGGGAACCTGGCAACACTCAAGACGATTCCCGAGGCTAAGGGGATCAATGTCCGGGACAAGTTCATCGAGTTTTACGAGAAGTACTATTCAGCCAACCGCATGAAGCTATGCGTCCTTGGTAGAGAGCCCTTGGATGTCTTGCAGTCCTGGGTCGTCGAGCACTTCTCATCCGTCAGAAACCAGAACCTGCCGCCTAACAGGTGGGAGGATGAGGTTCCTTTTACCAAAGACGAGCTAGGCATTCAGATCTTCGCCAAGCCGGTAATGGACACACGGGAGCTTAGTCTCATCTTCCCCTTCGTAGAACAAGATCACCTCTACGAGTCGCAACCTAGTCGGTATATTAGCCATCTCATCGGCCACGAAGGGCCGGGAAGCATAATGGCATATATCAAGTCGAAAGGCTGGGCTAATGGCCTCTATGCCGGTGCTTGGCCAGTGAGCCCCGGTACCCCAGACATCTTTGAATGCCAAATCACGTTAACAGAAGAGGTATGAGAGATCCCCCGGGTTTTTAGGCCATGGAAAAGATAACTTAGACCGCGTACAAACAGGGACTCAAGAATTACCAAGAGGTCGTCAAGGTGTTTTTTGAATACATTGCACTCTTGCGGGAAACAGAGCCCCAAGAATGGATATTTGAGGAACAAAAGGGTCTGGCCGAGGTCAACTTCAAATTTAGGGAAAAGACGCAATCCTACCGCTTCACAAGCAAGCTCAGCGCGTTTATGCACAAACCACTGCCTCGCGAGTATCTGCTGAGCGGATACAGCCTGTTGCGCAAGTTTGACCCTAAGCTGATCAAGGAAGCGCTCGAGTGCCTGCGTCCCGATAACTTCCGCATGACCCTTGTCTCCCGAGACTTCCCTGGAACGTGGGAGCAGAAGGAGAGATGGTACGGGACCGAGTATACACGCCAACCCATTCCGGAGGATTTCATGAAGGAGATCAAGAAGGCGGCAACAAGCGCCCCCGGGGACAGAACGGCCAAACTTCATCTTCCTCACAAGAATCAGTTTGTGCCGACCAAGCTGGAAGTCGAGAAGAAGGAGGTTAAGGAACCGGCACCAGCACCTCGCATCATCCGCAATGACCCGCTGATCAGGACTTGGCACAAAAAGGACGACACCTTCTGGGTCCCCAAGGCTACCGTCATCGTGAGCTGCAGGAGCCCTGCCGTAACTGCCACGGCAGCTAGTCGGGTCAAATCGCGCCTCTTCACGGATTTGGTAAAGGACGCCCTTGAGGAGTACTCATATGATGCTGAATTGGCTGGCCTGGAATACACCGTTTCCCTAGACTCCCGGGGCCTGTACATTGAGGTTTCTGGCTACAACGATAAACTAGCTGTTCTCTTGCAGCACGTACTCATTACAACGCGCGATCTTGAGATTCGCGATGAACGGTTCGCCATCATCAAGGAACGAATCACCAGAGGATATCGGAACTGGGAACTCTCTCCACCCTGGACCCAGATCGGTGACTACATGTCATGGCTGACGATTGACTCCGGCTATGTTGTCGAGGAGCTCGAGGCGGAGTTGCCTCACATCACGGCGGATTCGGTGCGGGCGCTCCAGAGGGATCTCCTCAGCCAGATGCATATGGAAATCTTTGTCCATGGGAACCTGTACAAGGAGGACGCCCTGAAGTTGACAGACATGGTCGAATCGACGCTCAAACCGCGCGTGCTTCCACGTCAGCAATGGCGAATCCGTCGTGGGCTGATTTTCCCTCCCGGCTGCAACTACATCTGGAAGAAGACGCTCAAAGACCCGGCCAATGTTAACCACTGCATCCAGTACTTTCTCCATGTTGGCGACAGGGGAGATTACAACGTGAGGGCGAAGACGCTGCTCCTAGACCAGATTGTTCACGAGCCATGCTTCAATCAACTTCGCACCAAAGAGCAGCTTGGCTACATTGTCTACTCAGGGGCCTGGACGAGCATCACGCAGTACGGCTTTTACTTCGTCATTCAGAGCGAAAAGACGGCGCCGTATTTGGAGACAAGAATCGACGAGTTCCTCAAATCGGTGGCGAGTATGCTCGAGGAGATGAGTGAGGCCGAGTTCGAGAGTAACAAGCGGAGCATTATCGACAAGCGTCTCGAAAGACTCAAGTATATGGAGCAGGAGAGCAATAGGCATTGGAGCCATATCCACAACGAGTACTATGCCTTTGACAATGGTAAGTCCACACCGGCCCGACTTTCGCGAGTACTAACCTGACGCCTCTTGCGTGGTATAGCCCAGCAAGATGCGGCCCACATAAAGCCGCTCACCAAGGAGACTATGATAGAGTTCTTCAACCACTACATTCACCCGTGCTCACCGGCCCGGGCAAAGATAGCCGTGTATCTGGAGGCGCAGGCGAAGAGTGACGTGTCAACGAAGCAAATATCAGAATTGATTCAGACGCTGGAGCTGGATACGACTGCTGCTGCTCAGGCGGCGACCGATCTACAGACGCGACTCAGTGCGGCGGGTCATGATGTGGAGAAGGAAGTGGCGGGCCTCAGGGATTATCTTCTCCACAATTTGCAGGTTCCCGAGGGCAAGATCGATACGGCGGTGGAAGCGTGGAGAAAGATCCACGAAGAGCACGGGCCCGGGAGTGAAGTTGTCAAGGACGCGGAGCCGCCCTCGGCAAACGGGACTACGCCCGTATTCATCGAGGATGTGAGACTGTTCAGGTCCAGCCTAACAGCCAGTAAGGGCCCCACCCCACTAAGAGACCTCAGCGAATTTGAGGATTTGGAGGCCAAGCTTTGAGCTCTGCAATTGAGGATGTGCGGAGAGGTTGGCCGGCATATTATAGAATGGAGATTTGATACAGGGTTTCATGGAAAGAGTCAAGGCTCGTGCAACCAGAACCAGGACCAGTGGAATTTGCGACATCACTGGAAATGTTACTGATAGATCGCTAGACATCAAGGGCATTATTGTTGTTATACCCACAGACAAGACGTAGTCATGGGCATTCTTTTCTCGCTTTGACTAGACAATAAAGCAGCTGCATTGCATTCCCAACCCGCTGTAGCGAAGATGCTAGAAGAGGGCGATTACATAGAGAGGCTCAGAGTTGCGTTGATTACCTTATGTAAGGGAATTTATTCGTAACGCCACCTTACATTACATACATACACTGCTTGACAGGCAGCAGTTGCAGAGATTACAGTACAACACAACGTTTCATGGTACCAAGGTTGATCACGATCAGAAATGTTATCTTGGGATTTTTGGCCCCGAACCCGGC